ACAATAAGAAGAATTGAATCATTAAAAATAATTTTAAAAAAGGAATATTCATATAGCAGTTCACAAAAATATGTCTGGAATAGATTTTGAAAAATGGTTGATAAAATGTGAAGTTGAGGTGTGTTGTGATGACCTCATATTATCACGTGAGCATAAAGAATAGTTAACATTGTGGGGATTTTTGGTAAATTATATTTATATTCCAGAAACTTAATAGAAAAATAGTTTGAATGCCAATAGTAGTATTTCAGGTATGAAATTGGATAGGTGGAGGAAGAATTACTTTTATTAGTGACATTATTACGAAAAATTACAGAGGTAGGTAGGAAATTTGTGGAAGAAAAAAATTATATATATGACTTGGTAATTTTATAGAAGGGTTAGAGCTAGAGAGTGATAGATTTAATAAATTAGTTGAGAGCATTAAGCTAGGTGATTTTATAATATTGATATTAGAAATATGAAAGATGTGAAGGAAAACTGATTCTTTATAGTTTATTTTTATACATTTACTGTTACATAGTTTTGGACTATCTATGTGAAAATGGGCAGCCAGACTTGGAGATAGAATAAAAGAGAAATAGAATAGTGTTTACCTCCTCATGGAGATAGAAAAGGCAGTGTAGAGAGCTTAAAGCTAAACTTTTAGAAATAGTCATATTTATTAGCAGGGTAGCGAAGAGATCACAATCTCTAGACACTGTGTCAGAGGGACCAAAGGAGGACAATAGTTTTCAAGGAGGACTTGATTCATAGTATTGCTGCCCTCAAAGAAATCAGAATATGGTAAACAAAATGCTGTTAAATTTGAAGATGAGTTATTTGTTTTGGTAATATATTTTTTTCCTAAATGAAAATTAGAGTTGATTCTTTAAAATCACTTTTATATATCTACTGGCTTTATCAAGCCAGTTTCCTTTTTATGTAAATTTATCTTGGCACCATTTATTTTAAAAAGCTATATTTTATTCATATCTAATAATGTTACCATAAAGAATTTTCAGTATTAAAGGAAACATTCATTCAGCAGTGATCTTTTAAAGTAATTTGATGACACCTAGACTATTGGAATGTTGATTGCTTCCCTTAACATAGATTCTTTGTTTTACATTGTAACTATTTTAATAATTAAAATGTCACCAAAGTATGACGGTGACTATCTTCAGTATCTAGTGTACATTCATAATTACCTTTTTTTCTCTCAGGTTGATAAACTTTTAAGGTTCTTCATATATAAGAAAGGACACTTTCCATGTCTATCTCATAAAATTATGTACGATTTTCTGGATGAGATGCTCCCTTTTAATCAATGATGTATTTAAAAATGTGAATTAGACCAAAAAAATTGGCATTGATTATAGACTTGGAATTATTTCATAACAGAATGATTCTGCTTAAGAGAGTTCATATTTTTTACCTTTCTGATTTGTGTTGTGTTCCTTTAGGAATACATACTTCTCATATTCTGCTGTATGTGCCTCATGATTGATATAATTTAGACCCTATAATTTAGTCTTCATTGTAGTGCTTTTAGCATACCTCATTTCTAAAATTGTCCAGTTCTTCCAAAAAGTCTTCCTGAATATCAGATTTAGGATTTTAGATCTGGATAGGACTCTAAAGATCATTTAAGTATCTCCATCATTTCACAGAGAGAGTAGGTGATTTGCTTATTAATAGAGGAAAGGTCTCTTGGATCTAAGACCCCATTCCTCTGTTTCCATTAATTATTCATCTTTCCACTTCACAAAAATCATATTAGAAGTTATGGATAGTATTCTGCCTTGAAAAGGGAACTGATATACTTCATTAAATATTACAATTCTATCATTATTATTTCTTGGAATTATTTTCAGCATTCTTTAGCTAATATGAGAATTTTCTTGCAAATGTGTTCATTACTTTAACTCGTCTGGTTCTTTCATCTTTTGCTTTAAAAATTAAAATAACATTTATCATAATTGCTAGATATATTTTTATTTTTTATTTTAACTCCTATTATTGAAATTTTTGCACTAATTACTAAATACTAGCTTTTGGATTTCTCAGCTTTATTGTGACTTAATGTATATAAGTATTATGTGTTTATTTACATGTTTCAAATAATATTTCATAAGCATACTTGATTTTCTTAGAGGAATAATTCATCTAAAATTTACTTTGAACATTTCTCATTCATTCTGGGTTTTTTAAATTCACTAAAGCTGTAATAGTACTAGCATAAGTTATATACAATATTACATTTTATATTAACTTATTCTCTTGTTAAGCAGTACATTTAATTTTATGTAATAGGTTTAACTTTAATATGGTAGAGAGGATATTTTTTTCTTTCGGTTTTTAAATACAAACCTCATTGCTTTCTCATTACACATATGTATTCAATAGTGCATAAATTTTTTCTTTGAGAATTCTTATAAATGCTTTTACCCCAGTTTAAGAAGATAAAATTATTTTCAGCGAGAAATATTTAACTTTTTTTGTTTGTTTGTTTTCTTAGTTAATCATAGCATAGATAATAAAAACAGCTAGGGTATATTTAGTATATAGAAAAGTAAAATATTTTCCTTATTTCATATTAACTGAAAAGCCTTGTCTACATTTTGTAGTTATGGGTGTTGGTTAACTGAGGAACCATGACTAAATATAAATTTGGCATTTTAATAAGGTCATGGCACCTTTTCTAATTGGTTCATGAGTAGTGCATATTCTTTTAATGCCTTCTTTAATGACTAAGATTAATCCAAATACATTTTAATGTATTTTACCTATTTTTTATTTTATTGATTGTACTTTCATTTTCTTCATATAAAAATCACTTTGAAGTTATGTAGATGCCTTGCACACACAAAAGTGATACCATCCTGCCATATTAACAATGGCATGTGATATATCAGAAATTTCGTGGTCTTCAATTAGATTGCTATTTTTTTTCTTTGCTTTTTTTGAGCTTTATATGTTCCGTGTCTCCCAGGTACTTTTTAAAGATCTATGAAGTGTAAATGTGGCAACATTGGTAGATAGCAAGGTTATAGGTGAATTAATTCTCAAACCACTACCCCTCCTCCCCACAAAAAGAAAAAACTATAGAGCAAGATTGCCTAAACATCACATGAAGGCTATCCTTTGGCATTGCTGAGTCAGATTTCTTTCAAATCTCTTTCTCACTTTTATGTTCTTAGAATTGTAAATTTAGACTTACAATTATGAGTATATTTATGAAGTAGTTGCTTTTTTTGTTTTCTCTTTTTTGAAAATTAATGAACCAAGATAAATAAAACATCTAATAACACATGGCCAAGGCAGTTTCTACTCTTTTATCTTTACTTGTTTTATGTAAAATTCTTTTTAGAGGTAAACTTTGCTGATGTGGTTACTTATAACAGTTCGTTTAACTTTTTATTTGGAAAAAAAATTGGGGCTTGAATTCGGACATTTCTGCTTATAATCTTTCAGTTTTGGCAAATAGTAAGTTATATAGCTAACAGTGCCTTTATGTTAACTTGGGGAAATATATTCTTTCTCATTTTTAAAAAGTTTTCAAGGATTTGGTATCAGTTTCCTTCCTCTGCTGTCTTACCCTCCAACTTTCTTCATAACCAAGATATGGTTCTGTTTCAGATAGGATTCATTTTCTTGCTTTTATGGTAAATCTTTAAGTGTAGTAGACATTAGATACATTCAAGTTCACTAATTTCCTTTTGTATGATTACGTTTTGAGGAAAGTTATTCTTCTTTTCCATTATTATTACTATCCAAAATAGCATTAATAAATACCAGTGGGCTCATTCCTTCTTTTCAGCAAGCTAAAGGGAAAACTTTTATTTTGTTTTTGAGGCATTTCCATTTGTGGTATCTAAATGTATTAGGGAGAGCCCTTCTTTTTAAAGTAAAGTTTTCTCTTTTGACCAAAATGTAAACTTTCCTTAAGAAATCTACTATTCTTCTAAATTTTAATTTCACTTCTGTATTTGCTGAACTGAACATTTATCCCTATGCCATATTTTTAACACTAAAAAAAGAAAGTTACCACTTCTCTCTTTTCCAAGCGTTACTTGGGATATCGGAATAATACTAATAAAATTCAATTTGTTCTAGATCAGTGGATACCGGAACAGAGAGGAGGTGTTTCTTACCTGATAAAGTGTGTGTGTTCCGATTCTGCTAATCCAGAAATCCAATCTCATTTGTTTAAAATCATCCTTAGTTGTTATTTGTTAGGGAGTCAACTCCCTATTTTGATTTTTTTCTGAAATTCAGTCCCTAGATGTGCTTTAGATAGGGTAGAATTTTTACCTCTTTCAGAACACTGCTAAAGAAGTTTTCAACTGGAACATAGTCTGAAGAAGCACTGAGAGCAAAAAAATTCAGAGTGGTGATTGGCCACCTCTGTTTGATTGACAGGTTGCAGGGAGAAACCCATTCGTTCTGGATTAATGGAACTGGAAAGCAGAAAACAATTATCAGGTAAAAAAAACCTTTTCTTTAACCTTTGAAATTCACCATTTAAAATATGAGTCAGACCATCAAGGGAATTTATTACCAAAAGGAAAAATAATTAGTGTTTCATGAGCAGTCATCTTTGGCTACTACTTCCAAGAGTTACCAAGAAAAAGAAAGCTACGGTTACTACACATTGTCAGCCTTTGCCGAAAGGACTTGATTAAATGCAGATAAGTTGAAAGCGTGTAAAGAGCAATTGTGTTTTAAGTCTGGGTTAAAGACATGAAGCAGAAATCTATGGGTGGGGGAGATTGGTGGTATTTTATTTCCTGAATTGTGTTTGGTCTATGGATAAATAGAACAATTTGGTTTTCAGAGCTTTAATCTGGCACTTTTCATGAATATTCACAAGTTTTGTTACTATACTGTGTTTGTTATACTTATTTACTTTACTAGGATGTATACTTATATATCATCATAAAATTCTAGTAACAATAGTGACCAGTTCTTTATTTTTTTAATGGCAATTTTCTGATTACTGGTTAAATACATTTCAGATTGAAGGCCAAGGACATGGTGCAGTATTTGACTGCAAATGCTCTCCTGATGGACAGCATTTTGCATGCACGGACTCTCATGGACATCTTTTAATATTTGGCTTTGGCTCCAGTAGCAAATATGACAAGGTAGGGTATAATGACTATATATCTTCTTTCTTTTAATCCCTGGATGTTTAGTGGTTGTATTTGGGGCAGGGGGTGAGAATCATTTATGCTTTCAACATATTTGAAGAATATTTCAGCAAAAAGAAGAGCCATATTTTAAATAGTCTAGAGATTTATGTTTTGGAGAGAAGGGTGAAGACAATAGTTTTTAAATCTTTTCTATAATAGATAATAATAATTATATGTTACTTAAATAAGTAAAAATAGAGTCTTTATATTTCAGAAGGAAGAACTTTATACTTAATTAGCCTTCAAGAACAGTCTAGATTGTAGTCTTAAAATTGGAGTATATAAACTGGGGATGGGCGATATTATCCATAAAAGGACTTGAAATTATGTAAAACATTTTATTTGTATGGATAATATGCTTTTATCTGGGGTACAAATTTGTGGCTTTCAAATGTGTGCCATACTGATGGTAGCTAATCTTTTTAAATAATTAAGACTCTTAAGATGAGTGACTAAAATTGCTTCTGCAGTAGGGTGGTATAAAAGATTATCATAAAAATTGCATAGCTCATGGTTTAGTTTAAGACGTTCCAAATTGTCCAATAAAAATGTTGATGTTACAGATGTCTCAAGCATGAGTTCATATTAATAATTTATATTTCAGAAATTTAAAAAAAATGCTTAACTCTTGAAAATTGGATAATGTTAAATTTTTATATTAACATTATATAAACCCTATTCACTGTATACTTAAGGATTTTCTTAAATTGTATAAGTGATGTCATTAAAGAGTTGAATTCTAAGAATAAATTCATTGAATGCTTACCCTTTGTAAAAAATGCTAAAAAATAATTTAAAAAGTAAGATAGGGTGTGGTAGCTCTGTGAAAGTTATAGTACTGCTGAATGATTTATGCCTAGATTTGACTTCATCATGTAATTTGAAATTATATTAGCTATCTTTTCAGTCTCTTTCTTGTTTCAGAGAAAATTCAAAGTAGCTACTTTTCTGATTATAAAATTCAGTGTAGAAAATATAAAGACTTATTTACAATTCAAAAAAAGAATATTCTTTTATATTGCTCTTAATATGATTTATGGTGGACTGTTTGCTTTCTATTAGAAATTTATAATGATAAATTTTATTCTTCCGATAAAGTTTATTCTTCCAATCTTTTATCATCCTTTCTTTTTAAAGATAGCAGATCAGATGTTCTTTCATAGTGATTATCGGCCCCTTATTCGAGATGCCAACAATTTTGTGTTAGATGAACAGACTCAGCAAGCACCACATCTTATGCCTCCTCCTTTTTTGGTTGATGTTGATGGTAACCCTCATCCATCAAGGTATCAGAGATTAGTTCCTGGTCGTGAAAATTGCAGGGAGGAGCAGCTCATCCCTCAGATGGGAGTAACTTCCTCAGGTAAATGTTCATTTTCATAGACAACCAAATTTTTCTTTTCCTACTGAAATTTTATAAAATTATTAATTGGGTAACACTCTGTTTTGAACATATGAGAAGTAAAATGATTTTCTGTACTTCCCTAAAGTTTTTTGAATAATGCTTTTGAATAATGTTTAAGAATTGTAAGGTAATTAAGGAACATTGAAGGTTTAAAACAATAATTTGATCTATATCCATTAACCTCCGGGGACTAATAAGTTAAGTTCCTATATTTGATATGAGATGAGTCAACTTACTTATTCATTCAGCAACATAAATTGAGAATATCCTCTGTCCCTGACACCTGCTAAGCTGTGGTATTCAGTAATCACAGTTGTAGACAGATACATGGTTAAAAATTGTGATAAACCTTATGAAGGGGGTAGTAATAGTGTGATTTGAGAGACTAAGATTAGATAGTCTATTCCTATTGAAGATTGTTTAAGTGATCAACTTTTATTTATTGAATTGATTTTTTTTTTTTTTTTTTTTTTTTTTTTTTAGTGAGGGAGAGAGAAGGAGGAGAGAGAAATTCATTAATTGGTTGCCTCCCCTCCGTGCCCCTATTGAGGATTAAACTGGAAACTCTGGGTATATGCTCTGACCAAGAATTAAACCCGCCACCGTTTGGTATGGGATGATGCTCCAACCAACCGAGCCATATACCAGCCAGGGCAAAAGTGATCAACTTTTAGAAGTTTATATGTAAGATAGGGATGAAAAATGTTGAGAGCTATTATAGTGATGTAATGAAGGTGAATATTAAATGAGTTACGAAATTGGAGTTTAAAAGTCTATAGACACCGTCTTCCACCCTTTTGACAAGAAACAGCACTAATTTATGAAGTGAAAATAATGGACTCTATAAAGAAGGTTAAAGCCAGGTTTGATATTATGAATCATTCTGTTATATTTTAGAGTAGAAAAATGTTTGTTAGATATTTTAAGTTCTTGACTCTAGAATAACAGACAAGTAGATTTAAAGGACATATATGAGATATAATCTACACTAATAAAAGACAAACATTCAAATTGACCATACCTTTGCTATGTCTTAAGCCACGCCCACCAGCCAATCAGAGCAAATTAACCCAACCAAGATGGCGGCCAGCAGCCACGGAGCTGGAGCGAGCAGGAGGCTTTGTTGCCCCAGTGATGGAGGAAGCCAAGCTTCCCACCTGCTGCGGCCAGCTCTGAGCTCAACTCAAGGCAACGAAGTTTCAATTAGAGAACATAAATAAACCCCAGATACCTGCTTTCAACCGGCTTTGGCCACGGAGCTGGAGCGAGCAGGAGGCTTGGGTTTCCCCTGGTGATGGAGGAAACCAAGCTTCCTGCCAGCCCTGGCTGGCTCTGAGCTCCACTCAAGGCTACAAAGTTTCAATTATAGAAGGTAAATAAATCCCAGAATAAACAGAAAAAAAAAGAAGAAAAGGAGAGGCTGGGAGCTTCTGTCGCCAGGGGGTTTGGCCAACCTGAAAACGGCCTCAGCCCCTCACCCAGACTGACCAGGCACCCCAGTGAGGACCCCCCACCCTAAAGGGGGTGTAGCCAGCCTGAAAACAGCCATCAGCCCCTCACCCAGACTGGCCAGGCACCCCAGTGGGGTCCCTCACCCTGAAAGGGGTATGACCAGCCTGAAAACAGCCAACAGCCCCTCACCCAGGCTGGCCAAACCTCCATGGGGTGAGCTTCCCAACAGAGAGGGGCTTGACCAGCCTGCAAACAGTGATCCATCAGCCCCTCATCCAGGCTGGCCAGGCACCAAGTGGGGACACCCAACCCTGAAAGGGATGTGACCAGCCTGCAAACACCCATCAGCTCCTCACCCAGTCTGGCCAGGCACCCCAGTGGGACCCCCACCCTGATCCGGGACACCCTTCAGGGCAAACCAGCCGGCCCCCACCCTTGCACCAGGCCTCTATGCTATATAATAAAAGGGTAATATGCAAACAGCAGAACCACTGGGAATGACTGGTCACTATGACACACACTGACCACCAGGGGGCAGATGCTCAATGCAGGAGCTGTCCCCTGGTGGTCAGTGCGCTCCCACAGGGGGAGCTCTGCTCAACCACAAGCCAGGCTAATGGCTGCCAGCACAGTGGTGGTGGCGGGAGCCTCTCCCACCTCCTTAGCAGTGCTAAGGATGTCCGACTGCAGCTTAGGTCTGCTCCCTGTTGGTAAGTGGACATCGCCCGAGGGCTGCTGTACTGCCAGAGGGATGTCTGACTGCCAGCTTGGGCCTGACACCTCCCCACCCCCCAGGGAGCAGGCCTAAGCCAGCAGGTGAACATCCTCCGAGGGGTCCCAGACTACAAGAGGGCATAGGCCTGGCTGAGGGACACACCCCCCCCCCCCCCCGCCCCTCCAGGGCACAAATTTTTGTGCACCGGGCCTCTAGTTTATAATAAGTAACTTAAGTAATGAATTCAGATTCTATAGGCAGCATAGAAAAAACTATTTCATTGCATTGTAGAGCACCCACTTATTTTTCTTAAAGGATTGGTCATGAAATTTCATGAAGATAAACATATTACATAGGAAAGACTGCTTTTGTAACTATACATACCCACTCAGGATGAAGGCTGTGGAGAAACATGAATGAAGTAGTCCCTGCTGCCACTTGTAGAGCGTAGTACAATCCAGCAGACCTGAGTATCTGGAGTATGTGAAATTAAAATGTCTCAATACAGAGACACAGCATGGCTGGGATTTTAGGCATAAGGAAATGAGGAAATGATTCACTTATTAAAATTTTAGTGCTACTAATTAGTGTGATTACTTTTTTCTTCATTTAACTTTTTATAAAGGGCTTTCATTTAATCCTTATATCTATGGTATCTCAATCCTAAAAGTTTAGAAAATGAAAACAAGAGTCTATCTTGTCCGAGTTAAAGTATATGAAATCATAGGGACTCAAACTCAGCTTGACTTCCAGTCAATTGTTTCTTCCATACTAAGCTGACGTTGCTGTAAAAAGTAGACTTGATTTTGAAAATGAAATAGACACTGGCTATCAGTACAGGGCCACAAGAGAACCCATAGCAATAATTGTGGCTTCAAAGTGAATCACAGAATTTTTAAGTGTTCTAGGTCATAGAATTCAGGTTAAACATTATTTATTTCATTAAGAGTTTAAAAATACAAAAACAGAACAAAAGAATTGTTTATTTTTTATATATTTTTAAAATTTATTTTTATATGATTTTAGAGGGAAAGAGGAAGAGAGTGAGAGAGAGATACTAACATCATTGATGAGTGAGAATCACTGACTGGCTGCCTCCTGCACAGCTTCCACTGGGGATACCCAGGCATGTGCCCCGCCTGGGAATTGAACCATGACCTCCTGGTTCATAGGTTGATGCTCAACCACTGAGCCATGTGAGACAGGCAGTAATATTTTTTTTTTAACTCAGCATTATTATTATTTTTTTTTTATTGCTTAAAGTATTACAAAGAGTATTACATGTCTCCTTTTTTTTCCCCCATGCTTGACAATCCCCTGGCCTCCCCTACCCCCCTGTGTCTTATGTCCATTGGTTATGCTTATATGCATGCATACAAGTCCTTTGGTTGATCTCTTACCCACCCCCCTCCTGCCCTCCCACCCTCCCCAGCCTTCCTGCTGTAGTTTGACAGTCTGTTTGAGGCAGCTCTGCCTCTGTATCTATTTTTGTTCATAAGTTTATAATGGTCTTTATTATCCATAAATGAGTAAGATCATGTGGTATTTTTCCTTCATTGACTGGCTTATTTCACTTAGCATAATGCTCTCCAGTTCCATCCATGACGTTGCAAATGGTAAGAGTTCCTTCTTTTTTACAGCAGCATAGTATTCCATCGTGTAGATGTACCACAGTTTTCTAATCCATTCATCTACTGATGGGCACTTAGGCTGTTTCCAGATCTTAGCTATGGTGAATTGTGCTGCTATGAACATAGGGGTGCATATATCCTTTCTGACTGGTGTTTCTGGTTTCTTGGGATATATTCCTAGAAGTGGGATCACAGGGTCAAATGGGAGTTCCATTTTTAGTTTTTTCGGGAAACTCCATACTGTCTTCCATAGTGGCTGCACCAGTCTGCATTCCCACCAGCAGTGCACGAGTGTTCCTTTTTCTCTACATCCTCTCCAGCACTTGTCGTTTGTTGATTTGTTGATGATAGCCAGTCTGACAGGTGTGAGATGGTAGGTACCTCATTGTTGTTTTGATTACATCTCTCGGATGATTAGTGACTTTGAGCATGTTTTCATATGTTTCTTGGCTTTCTGAATGTCCTCTTTTGAAAGGTGTCTGTTTAGTCCTTTGCCCATTTTTTGATTGGATTGTTTATCTTCCTTTTGTTAAGTTGTATGAGTTCCCTATAAATTTTGGAGATTAGGCCCTTATCAGATATGACATTGGCAAATATGTTTTCCCACACAGTGGGTTTTCTTGTTGTTTTGTTGATGGTTTCTTTTGCTGTGCAGAAGCTTTTTATTTTGATGTAGTCCCATTTGTTCATTTTCTCTTTAGTTTCAAGTGCCCTAGGAGCTGTATCGGTGAAGAAATTGCTTCGGCATATGTCGGAGATTTTGTTGCCTTTGGATTCTTCTAGTATTTGTATGGTTTCCCGTTGTATGTTTAAGTCCTTTATCCATTTTGAGTTTATTTTTGTGTATGGTGTAAGTTGGTGGTCTAGTTTCATTTTCTTGCATGTATCTGTCCAATTTTCCCAACACCATTTATTGAAGAGACTATCTTGACTCCATTGTATGTTCTTGCCTCCTTTGTCAAATATTAATTGAGTGTATTGGTTGGGGCTGATTTCTGGGCTCTCTATTCTATTCCATTGATCTATATGCCTATTCTTGTGCCAGAACCAGGCAGTTTTGAGAACAGTGGCTTTGTAATACAGCTTGATATCTGGTATTGAGATCCCACCTACTTTGTTCTTTCTCAGGATCGCTGCAGCTATTCGGGGTCGTTTTTTATTTCAGATGAATTTTTGGAGAGTACGTTCTAGGTCTGTGAAATATGCCATTGGTATTTTAATGGGAAGTGCGTTGAATTTATAGATTGCTTTGGGCAGTATGAACATTTTAATGATGTTGATTCTACCAGTCAACTCAGCATTTCTAACTAAATTTCTATTTGAAAATCTAGATCTATAATAATATTTATTTTTGAAAAATATCTGTCGTACTAGGTAAAAATAGATGGTGGCTATTGTAATAAAAAATTGACTCTAATGCACTTTGTTATATTTACTCTGAACAATACACTTTAAATGTGTTTCTTCAATTGTAAACTTGAGCTATGTAAAATTACTCATGGTTATTTATACATGAGATGTTTTGCTAGCAGCATACCAGGAAAGAAGCATCCATAGGCATTTTAACAGTTACCTCTTTCTTCTTTTACCACTTTCTATCTTTGTGACCTTGGACAAATTATTTTATCCCATTGATTTTTATTTTTCTCTTATTTTATAACATTATAAGCGTAATACATGTATCCCTTTCTTTATATCTTCATTACTATACTTTAAAATATATATACGTGTGTGTGTGTGTGTGTGTGTGTGTGTGTGTGTGTGTATAGATAGATAGATATATTTATATATATATAAAATCCATTTCAGAGAGGAAGGGAGAAAGAAGTGAAAACATCATTGATGAGAGAAAATAATTGATTGGTTGCCTCCTGCATGCCCTGCTGTTGGGGATAGAGCCAGCAACCTGAGTATGTGCCTTGACTGGGAATCGAACTATGACCTTCTGGTTCATAGGTCAGTGCTCAACCACTGAGTCACACCAGCCAAGCATTAATACTTTTTTACTGTAAGATACCTTTTGTGTCTTCTTTTCCTAGCCCATGTTAAAAGTTTGATCTCATCAAATATTCTCTTCTATATCTTCATACCTCATATTGATTGCTCCCTTCTCAAGTCTCATGTCAGTGCTTTCCTATATCTCATGATACTTAAACATTTTTTATTCATTGAGCAGGATTGAACATATTTATATATCTAGCTTTGTGCTAGATTTAGAATTAGAATATTAAAATAAATAAGTCAATCCAGGCTTTTGAGGAACCCATGCTTTTGGGCATCCTTTCTGTATTGGGCTGAACACTTGAGATATAAATGTACATATTGTTTGATTAAATGAAAGAGAATAACAGCTAATTTTTTCAGAGATGGTTTGGGAAGATTCCACAAATGAAATGTCATGAAGATACCATTTTAGTTGGTGCTTAAAGGATAAGATAGTGATAATCACGTGTATACTTGAAGTGAAAGTATTATGGTCAAAGCATAAAGATGTTTATCCCATAAGAGTAAGAGTCAAGTAGTTGCATATGGTACAGGTGAGAGTTGATGCTGGAAAAGTAGAGTGGGTTAAAACACATTAAGTTCCCTCCTACCTCAGAGTCTTTCCATCGACTCTTAGCCTTCTATCTGGAGTGTTCTTATTCTACCTCCTCACAAGGATTACTAATTCTTCTTTAAGTGTTAGGTCAAGTGCTGCATTGTCAAGGAGGGCTTCTTTGACTTTTGTGACTCACCATAGTATCATATCCCTTTCCTATTTTCTCTTTCTAATCATCTTTATTTAAACCTTTTTTACAATCTGTATCTATGTATGAGTTTATTGTTCAATTTCCCCATTGGATTGTCAGCTTCCTGAAGGTCAGGGACCTTGATGTTTCTTTTTTTTTTTTTTTTTAAAGGTGACTAACTATTTTTTTAAAAATATATTTTATTGATTTTTTACAGAGAGTAAGGGAGAGGGATAGAGAGTTAGAAACATCGATGAGAGAGAAACACCAATCAGCTGCCTGCTGCACACTTCCCACTGGGGATGTGCCCGAAACCAAGGTACATGCCCTTGACCGGAACCGAACCTGGGACCCTTGAGTCCGCAGGCCGATGCTCTATCCGCTGAGCCAAACTGGTTAGGGCCTTTGATGTTTCTTATTCACCACTGGATCCTCAGTTCTTTGGCATAGTCCCTAGCACATAATAGACACTAAAGAATTTGTTGAATAATTAACCTGTAAAGATTTTTTTTTTTTTTTTTAGAAAGTAGGTAATCAGATTTGCCTTTAAAAAAACACACACACACAACTATGATCTCTAAGATGAAGTCCTGTTATATAACTTTATTTATTTTGGTTTTCTCACTTGCAAATTAGAGTTAATCATACATATTAAATGATTATATGAGTGCCCTAATCATGATAAACACTCAGATATCCTCATCATTTCAATTTTCAATAGATTAAGATTGATGGGGACATGTTTCCATTTACTCCCATCATTTACTGTTGATCATTTTAGGTGTTCTCAAGCAAAATTTACGTTTACTTCTAGACTCAAAGTGAGGTAAATGAGTGAAATGGTTTGAATAGTTGACTAAAGTATTCTTAGCATTTCGTGTCTTATTACATAGGACTGAACCAAGTTTTAAGTCAGCAAGTGAATCAGGAGATCAGCCCACTGGACAGCATGATTCAAAGACTACAACAGGAGCAAGACCTGAGGCGTTCTGGTGAAGCAGGTGTCAGTAATACCAGCCGTTTAAGTAGAGGTAAGATGTGATGCTCTTAAGTGAAATATTAAAGACCCAAAACAGTCTATATTTTTAACAGTAGAGACGAGATTAAACAAATTATTGTACATCTATAAAATGAAATACTACGTGCCAAAATGATAATGTTTTTGAAAAATATTTAATGACCTAAGAAAATGTTCCTAATGTAAGGTTTTAAACAGTAGATAAAATTTTTAATATGTATATTCTTCCAAATACCCCATAATAATCATGTAGAACTTAGAAAACTTTCAAAATAAAAATAAATGTTATTCAGTAATTTATAAAATGTATTCAGAGCCACATTCTCAAACAACTAATCACTTTGTTGTATATGATTAAACTTTAAGAGAAAAGTTAAAGCAAATTTATGAACCATAAGTGTCCTTGGGTTTGTCTGTTTTTGCTTTTTATATCATTACTAGAGGCACGGTGCACAAAAATTTGTGCACTCGGGGGGGGGGAGGGGGGGTCCCTCAGCCCAGCCTGTGCCCTCTCGCTGACTGGGACCCCTTGGGAGATAACGACCTGCTGGCTTAGGCCTGCTCCCGGGTGTCAGAGGGCAGGCCCAATCCCTAGGTGCAGCCCCTGGTTGGGCTCAGAGCAGGGCCGATTGGGAGGTTGTGATGCCACCCTCAGTCATGCTCAGGGTAGGGCCAATTAGGGGGTTGGGGCACCGCCCCCTGTCACACTCAAGGCAGGGTCAATGGGGAGGTTGCAGCACCACCCCCTGTCACGCACAGAACAGGGCCAATCAGGGGGTTGGGGTGCTGCCCCGTCACACACAGAGCAGGGCCCATCAGGGGGTTGGGGCACCGCCCTCTATCACCCACAGAGCAGGGCCCATCAGGGGGTTGGGGCGCCGCCACTCTCACACTCAGGTCAGGGCCGATGGGGAGGTTATGGCTCTACCCCATCACACACAGAGCAGGGCCCGTGGGGGGGGGGGGGGTTGGGGAGCTCCCCCCTATCAGGCACAGAGCAGGGCTGCTCGGGGGTTGGGGCCCCGCCCCCTGTCACACACAGAGCCGCAGGGCGATCAGGGGGTTTGGGCGCTGCCCCCTGTCACACTGATCCCGGTGCCAGGAGGCCTCTCGGCTCCGCTGATCCCCGTGCTGGGAGGCATATTACCCTTTTACTATATAGGGTAGAGGCCTGGTGCATGGGTGGGGCCAGCTGGTTTGCCCTGAAGGGTGTCCTGGATCAGGGTGGGGGTCCCCACTGGGGTGCCTGGTCAGTCTGGGTGAGGGGCTGAGGGCTGTTTTCAGGCTGGGAGTGACTGAAGTTCCCAACCGCTCCTTTTTTTCTTTTTTTTCTTTTTTTATTCTCGGCCAGCTTTACCTTGAGGCTTGGCTCCAGCTCTTAGGCCTGCCTCCGTGGCTGAAAGTAGGTTTCTGGCCTTTGCTTACAATGTTGCGAATCTGCTGGCTGAAGTCAGGCGGTATTTGTTACAATGTTTCTTAAACTGCCGACTCAGAGGCCTGCAGCTGCAGGCAAGGAACGTTTGTTTCCTCCAACAATCCTCCGTCACTGAGGCAAGCAAGCCTCATGTTAGTTTCAAGCTGCCTGGCTGCCGGCCGCCATCTTGGCTGACAGTTAATTTGCATATCTCGCTGATTCGCCAATGAAAAGGGTAGCGGTCGTACGCCAATTACCATGTTTCTCTTTTATTAGTGTAGATCCCCAAAATACATGGTGAGCATTTTTAAAAGTAATTATTTTACATCTTCGGGCCTTAATAGTCAATACTTACGACTGTTAGATATGTTTATTAACATATCTAATCAACTGAATAACTATGTTTTATTTTCATTAAACTTTTGCCCGTGGTTAAGTTCCTGATTTGGTAATTTATTATTTGCCACAATATGAAGTTTCATGTGGAAGTTAGTGCAGGGTTTTTTTTTCTATTATAAGTTAATGGAGAAGTGTCTCTAAACATAACTTACTATATTTTTTACTAAGGTTCTGTAAGCTCTACCTCAGAAGTTCATTCACCTCCAAATGTTGGGCTAAGGCGGAGTGGACAGATTGAAGGAGTACGGCAAATGCACAGCAATGCACCAAGAAGTGAAATAGCCACAGAGCGAGATCTTGTAGCTTGGAGTCGAAGGGTGGTAGTACCTGAGCTTTCAGCCGGTGTAGCCAGGTAAGTGGAGTTGTGGATTCTTATGTACCCCAGTTGTCTGTGTTTATTTTTAATTATAGTCTTAAAAGTACCTTTTAAGCACTGTAATTTATTTTAAATTTATCTGAAGAGCTAGTCTTTTAAACTAATTGTAAAAAATTTAATACATGTTTTTTTCTAGAATGAGTCATGTAAAGGATATGAAGGGAAGATGTGTTAGGGTGAATGGGGGAAATAATAAATTTGGATTAACTAAATATGAAATTTATTGACTAGCATATTTAAATCTTAACCTGTATTATTTCATTGTAGCTTAAAACACTCCAGAAATTTGTTGTAATTAAATTTTCGATGGATTTTATTCATTATTCGTATCATTCACAGGCATAATGAAAATTACTTATTGGTAATACATTATATAAATATGTTTATATATTAAAATGATTCTTTTTTGTATTCGAGTATATTATACATGTATAAATTTAAAAGTATTGATTTGATATAATCTTTTTCTTGAGGCTCATGCTATAAGGGAACTTTAAAACCAGTTCTTGCCCTAACCGGTTTGGCTTAGTGGATTGAGCATCAGCCTGCGGACTGAAGGGTCCCAGGTTCAATTCCGGTCAAAGGCATGTACCTTGGTTGCGGGCACATCCACAGTGGGGGGTGTGCAGGAGGCAGCTGATCGATGTTTCTCTCTCATCTCTCTCATCGATGTTTCTAACTCTCTATTCCTCTCCCTTCTTCTCTGTAAAAAAATCAATAAAATATATTAAAAAAAAAATAAAACCAGTTCTTTTTTATTCCTTAGTAATTCATGAATGTGGTCCATCTGAATCCAGCAGACTACATACTCTTAATACTATACTATAAAAAAATGTGAAGATCAAAATGTGAATTTGATTTTAGGATTTTCTATTTCTTTTTTATTCTTACTGATTTCAGAGAGGAAGGGAGAGGTAGAGATAGAAACATCAATGATGAAAGAGAATCATTGATTGGCTGCCTCCTACACACCCCTTGCTGGGGATCGAGCCCGCAACCCCAGCATGTGCCCTTGACTGGAATTGAACCCAGGACCCTTCAGTCCATAGATCGACGCTCTATCCACTGAGCCAAACCAGCTAGGGCAAGATTTTCTATTTCTTAAAAAACTCGAAAGATGATAGTTATTTACAGACAGTCTCTTACGAATTTTTTTACTTTACAGTGGTGTGAAAATGATTTTCATTCAGTAGAAACCATACTTCAAATATTTAATTTTGATCTTTTCTTTGACTGGCGATATGTGGTATGATACTTGCTCATGATGCTGGTTGGGTAGTGGCAGTGAGTTGCAGCTCCCTGTCAGATAGGCAATCATGACAGTAAACCTCCTATACTCTTATGTTGCCAGTGTTTTTTTAGGGTATTATGTTCTGAGCATGTTTAAGGTAGACTGAGTTAAGTTGTGATTTTGGTTAGTTTAGGTGTATTAAATGCATATTTGATTTCCAATATTTTCAACTTATAATGAGTGTATCGGGACGTAACCTTATCTTAAGTTGAAGAGCATCTATGATTAAAATAAATACTTTTGAATGTGAATGTTTATATAGGAAATGCTTTTTTATTGGACAATACTTCAAATTTGTGTTAGGGTAGGATTAAATGTACACCTAAAGTATACATTTGAACAATAACTTTATCTGATGGAAAATATACCTGAATGTCTTTAATAAAAATTAACTTTCACTTTATTTTTAGTTGGATTCCTATCCACTTTTTAATTCTATTATTAGGGTTGGGGGGCTGGTAAGGTAATTGAAAATAAAAAAAAGAATAAAACAGGAAATCAGAATATTACTTTTTATAATTGATACAGCTGTGGCTTTATCTTGTATAAACAAGATAATGTGGCTTTTACTTGGCATTAAAGTGTGCTTTCTAATAAACTCCAATAACAGGTAACATTGAGCTTCTCAGTATTTCTCCCCATGGAGAAGCAGCTGATTTACTTATTTAAAATGCAGAGCAGAATATATAGATTGCTAAGCTGGCTTTTTCTTCCAGGAATTAGTTCACTTCTCCCCTTCTTAAAAACCTAAATATGCATTTACCAGTGCTTATCCTTTTGGGGATGTATACCAAAGGAATTAAAACTTATGTTCACACAAAAACATGAACATTGATGATATATTGCAGCTTTATTTGTAATAGCCAAAACCTAGAAACAATCCAGGTATGTTCTTCAATTGGTGTGTGTTTAAACAAACTGTGGTATATCCACTGCATGGAATACTACTTTGCTATAAGAAAAAGACATAGAGAACATACTAGTGATGGCTAGACATTGGGGGGAAAAAGGGCTAAGGAAGAGGAGATAAAGATAAATTATGATAATTAGAAGGGCACAACAAGTGATCTCTGGTGATGGATACATAAACCTATACATGTGGTACAAGTAATCACATTCTAACACAGGGGTGGGCAAACTTTTTGACTCGAGGGCCACAATGGGTTCTTAAACTGGACCGGAGGGCCGGAACAAAAGCATGGATGGAGTGTTTGTGTGAACTAATATAAATTCAAAGTAAACATCATTACATAAAAGGGTACGGTCTTTTTTTTTTTAGTTTTATTCATTTCAAACGGGCCGGATCCGGCCCGCGGGCCGTAGTTTGCCCACGGCTGTCTAACACCTATATACGCAAGTACAAGTAAAACTTGGGAGTTCTGAATATTGATGGATTGTATCAGTGTCAATATCCAGGTTGTGATATTGTACTACAGTTTTGCAAGATACTACCATGGAAAAAACTGGATAAAGGATAAAGGAATCTTATATTTCTTAAAATTGTATGTGAATCTACAGTTATCTCAATAAAAATTTTAATTTAAAAAACTACAAATAAATGGTTAAGAACTAACAAAAATTAAATCAAGGCTATTATTTTCATAAGATTTAAATTAACTCATTTTCCACTCAGAATTATGACCAGCTGCAAAAGAGATTTTGCAGTTAAGTAAAATGACATTAATGTACTCTAGTAAAAACAAAATTAACTTTATAGAGCTTTTCCAAATTTGAATGTTAACTCGCAGCTGTGAAATCTCCAGGAAAAATTATAGTTCTAAAACTTGAAAATTGTAAAGAATTAAAGTAAAAATCAAAATTTTGATTTTTGTCCTTGTGAGTTCAGGTTTCATGACATTGTAATTCACAATTAATGTTACTCAACGTTTTCTGTTGTACAATTTCAGCTGAATTCTGGATAGAGTTGAAGTTTTTCAGTAGATGAAGGCTGACTTGCCTTTCACTGGAAAGAATGTACTTCTTTCAGGGATTTGGGTTATGTTAGTTCAGCCAGAAGGTTCTGTTGTGCCTTTTCAATTTATTTTTATTTTAGGATTTTTAGCTATTTATTTGGCACAAAAGATTATCACAGCATAAGCCCTATACTGATGTAATATTTCCAACATAAATCCAATTTCTAACTCTAAAGAGCAGTTACCTTAGGAATATAATCATGTTCCCAGAACCTAATATTTGATTTGCCAACAAACATAGCAGAACCAGTAGTATCAAGTTCAAGTAGTCAGTCTATCTTTACCATGTTTCAGTCACCTAATGCCAAATGTACAGAGCACATAATCTATGAATATAAACTCAGAAATATTTATCATATGCCTCTCTAAAAGAAAAACATTAAGAGTAGCATTTCTTCTCTGACACCCAATACCTCTTTAGGTGAGAAATTAGTTGTAAAAATTCAAGATTAACATGTGGCTTTTAATTTTCTTTCAGTAGGCAAGAAGACTGGAGAACTGCAAAGGGAGAAGAAGAAATAAAGACTTACAGATCAGAAGAGAAAAGAAAACACTTAACTGCTCCAAAAGAGAATAAAACACCCACTGTCTCCAAGGTAAATAGTAATTACTTTTGATGTGTAATATTTTCTTTATAAATTCAGTAACCTTTTTAAGACCCTTTTGTAATAAAAAATGTCAACTTTTAAAATAAGATGCTTAATGAAGTAAAATTATTATAGTTATTTCTTGATTTCCTCATGTATTACCTATACTAATAAAGAGCTAATATTCTAATAGCCGGGACACTCTAATGCATAACGACCAGACCATTAGCATATTAGATGGGACCACCCTGAGCTGGGGAGGGCAGGGGTGAGAGCCCATAGTGCCCCAATCACCAGTCCTTTGCCACCCACCGCTCACACTCAGAGTGTCCCCTGGCCCACCTACCAGGGGAAGGAGCACAGTGCAGGAGGCTGGAGGCTTCCACGCTTTCCTCTGGCGCCATGAAGGGGCAGAGCCGCCGCGTTGCTCTGGAGACGGGGCAGGTACGCGCTTGTGACCAAGAATCAAGCAAGCGATTCTTCGGTGTGCAGGCCAACACTCTAACCACTGCACAACACCGACCAGGGCAGGTTTAAATTCTTACATTTATTAGGTTTTATTTCTGTCGCCATGTTGGACTTTCTTTTGGACTGTTGTCTTTTCATCTGACGCAGAACTTTTCCCACATTCTGTATTTAGAAGAAAGAAAGCTAGCCACCTGATATTCGAGTCTCATAGTGACATGGTAGTTTTGTGATCACCTTTTTGGTTTCTAGTTTGTCTTTATTAATATGCCTGACAGTCTGTGGTCCTCTTTCTCATATCTGTTTTATAGGTTTGGTTTTGTGTTGGTATGGGAGAATTCAATGTTAGGCTTGGTTTATTAGGAATCCTTAAATCCGTATTAGTTAATCAAAAGCAAGGTTTTTATAACATCAATTAGCAAGTGAATTTCAACATACACAAATCTGTGATTTTACTTGATATAATAAAATATTTGAACAGGTAGTCTAATCTAGTTTATGTAATATAAATATGTATGGATTTTTTATAATTAAGAAATACAACTTTTAAAGTAAAAAGTTAGCTCTTTAAGCATTCTGTAAATAAATTTAATTTACTTTTTCCCCAGAATCATGCTCATGAGCATTTCCTAGATCTTGGAGAATCCAAAAAGCAGCAGGCAAATCAACATAGTTATTGTACCAGATCTGCATTGGAAGAGATTCCTAGACCTTCGGAAGAGATAGAAAATGGCACTAGCTCTTCAGATGTAAGATCTCATTACATGCATAAATTTGTTTTCATTTTTACTTTTTTGAAAAAATATTACTTTCAATCTTCATATTTATTGATAAATTTATAGATGTAGCTCAAACATGGTATTTCTGGGCCTTATAATAATAGTGATAGCTTCCATTAGTGCTGAAGACCTGCTATGTATGTTCCAGGCATGGCACACATATGCATAATCTCAGATGCACAACACAAATTTGTATGAATTACTCTCATTTTATATTTATGAGGAATCTGAGGTTCTAAAATGCTTAGATTACACATTTACCTAATCCTATATAATAAAAGGTTAATATGCAAATTGACCAAACAGCAGAACGACCAGTTGCTATGACATGCACTGACCACCAGGGAGCAAATGCTCAACGCAGGAGCTGCCCCCTAGTGGTCAGTGCGCTACCAAAGGGAGAGTGCCACTCAACCGGAAGTCAGGCTAATGGCTGGCAAGCACAGCAGCGGTGGTGGGATCCTCTTCCGCCTCCGCGGAAGCGCTAAATATGTCCAACAGGCCCCAAGGACTCCCAGACTGCAAGAGGGTGCCTGGGCTGAGGGTCGCCCACTACCCCTATCCCCACCCCCAGAGTGCATGAATTTCATGCACTGGGCCTCTAGTTACTAAATAGTAGAGCAGGGATTAAATCCAGGTTCCTTTTACTCTAAAGCTAAGGTTTTTAAATGGTACCATCTATCCTATCTAATAATAGAAAACATGGTAATTAACAATACCTCTGCTACGCTTCCCATTGGCTAATCGGGGCGATATGCAAATTAACTGCCAACCAAGATGGCAGCCGGCAGCCAGGCAGCTGAAGTGAGCAGGAGGCTTGCTTGCTCCAGTGATGGAGTAAGCCAAGGTTCCACGCCTGCCACAGCCAGGCTCTGAACTCCAGTCTAAGCAACAATGTTGCAATTATAGAAGCTAAACAAACCCAGAAACCTGCTTTCAGCCAGCCAGCCTCAGAGCTGGAGCCGCAACAAAGTTTCAATTACAGAAGGTAAATAAATCCCAGAATAAAGAAAGAAAAAAAGGAGAGATTGGGAGCTTCAGTTGCAGGCTTGGCTGCCTGAAAACAGCCCTCAGCCCCTCATCCAGGCTGGCCAGGCACCCCAGTGGGGACGCCCACCCTAAAGGGGGTGCAGGCAGCTTGAAAACAGCCATCAGACCCTCATCCAGGCTGGCCAGACATGCCAGTGGGGACCCCCACCCTGAAGGGGGTGAGGGCAGCCTGAAAACAGCCATCAGCCCCTCACCCAGGCTGGCCAGGCACCCAAGCGGGACCCACACCCTGATCCGGGACACCATTCAGGGCAAACCAGCCAATCCCCACCCGTGCACCAGTCCTCTATCTATATAGTAACAGGGTAATATGCAAACTGACCCTAACAGCAGAAAGACTGGGAATGACTGGTCACTATGACACACACTGACCACCAGGGGCAGACGCTCAATGCAGGAGCTGCCCTCTGTTGGTCAGTGTGCTCCCACATGGAGGAGCTATGATCAGCCACAAGCCAGGCTGGTGGCTGCCAGTACAGCAGTGGTGGTGGGAGCCTCTCCTGCCTCCTCAGCATCGCTAAGGATATCCGACTGCAGCTTAGGTCTGCTCCCTGCTGGCAAGTGGACATCCCCCAAGGGCTGCCAGAGGGATGTCTGATTGCCATCTTAGGCTCAATCCCCCGGGGAGCAGGCCTCAGCCAGCAGGTGGTCATCCCCCGAGGGGTACCAGACTGCGAGAGGGCACAGGCCGGGCTGAGGGTCCCCGCCCCCCGCGCGCCCCCCCCCCCCCCCCCAGTGCACAAATTTTTGTGCACCGGGCCTCTACTATATGCATATAAAAGCCTAAGGAACCGTTCAAATAGTAGGTATGATGTGCACTGACCACCAGAGGGCAGACACTCAACGCACATGCATGGAAACATGGAGCCGACTAAGGAATTTCAGGGGAGGGGGGAGGGTGGGAAGGGATTAACCAAAGATCTTATATGCATACTAGAGGCCCGGTGCACGGATTCATGCACCGGTGGGGTCCCTCAGCCTGGCCTGCCAGGATTGGGCTGTACCGACAGTCCGGCATCTACCGAGGGGTCCTGGATTGCGAGAGGGTGCAGGGTGGATTCATGCACTGGGCTTCTAGTGAAACTCTAGTCTGGTAACTATAATTAATCAATAAGCGTTTAACTATTTTTCGTACTTTTTTTTATAAGTCAGGTATCATTTTCTTTTTAAAGAAATTATTTTAGCCGAAATCGGTTTGGCTCAGTGGATAGAGCGTCGGCCTGCGGACTGAGAGGTCCCAGGTTCGATTCCGGTCAAGGGCATGTACCTGGGTTGCGGGCACATCCCCAGTAGGAGATGTGCAGGAGGCAGCTGGTCGATGATTCTCTCTCATCGATGTTTCTAACTCTCTATCTCTCTATCTCTCTCCCTTCCTCTCTGTAAAAAATCAATAAAATATATTTTAAAAAAAAATTATTTTAATTTATTTGAGAGAGAGAGAGAGAGAGAGAGAGAGAGAGAGAGAGAGAGAATCAGGGATTAAAACCATAACTGGGATATGTGCCCTGAATGGGAATTGAACCCACTACTTTGTGGTGTAGGGACCATGCTCCAACCATCTAAGCTACATTGGCTAGTGCTTGGTTAGTTTTTAATCTCTATACCGGTGGGTTAGTTTTCTCAATGTAATAAATATTTCCGTAAATGTCATTGTTCCTACTAAATATTCTTTCAGCAAGATAGTCAATTTGTAGGCACAAATTAATCTTATTCAGCACTTAGAGAACCATTTCTCTTCCCTACTCACCCTACCACTCCCTCCCCCACAGTTAGCTCAAAGACTCTATGATCTTAAATAATGATTACCAAACATTTTTGAAGGTGTGATGTGTTTTACAATGTTAGACATATGGGAATTTTCTGAGTATATTTTATATGGGTAGGGCAATATTAATTCAAATTGAGAGTATTCTACCCAGAATTTAAAAGTTAGTCTTTGGTGGCTTAGGTCTTAGTGTGGCCAGGTCAAAATGATATGTCTAATCTGGTAAAAAGACATATTCCCTAATTACATAAACTCGACACATGAGAATTTAGATATGTATACAAAACATAAAATGTATGTCAGCACATTATTTGCCTTATAAAATGGTTCTGTATTTTTTAAAGGTTTATAGCAGGGGTGGGCAAACTTTTTGACTCGAGGGCCACAATGGGTTCTTAAACTGGACCGGAGGGCCGGAACAAAAGCATGGATGGAGTGTTTGTGTGAACTAATATAAATTCAAAGTAAACATCATTACATAAAAGAGTACGGTCTTTTTTTTTTTTTTTTTTTTTTAGTTTTATTCATTTCAAACGGGCCGAATCCGGCCCGCGGGCCGTAGTTTGCCCACGGCTGGTTTATAGTATGATTTTTTAAATATTAAGTTTCTAGAAAATATTTTTTTGGTAATGTATTTATTTTTAATTAAATGTATTGGTGAGACATTGGTCGACATGATAATACAGGTTTCAGGCGTGGGTTTCTATGTTACAAGATCTGTATATTGCACCATGTATCCACCATCCAAAGTCAAAACTCCCGTCACCATATATTAGGATCCCCTTCTCCCCCTATCTCCTTTCCTCTAGCAACCAACACACCGTTTCTGTTCACGAGTTGGAGTTTTATATCCCACATATGAGTTAGATCATATGATTCTTAGCTTTTTCTGACTGACTTATGTCACTTAGCATTATATTCTAGAAAATATTTTAAATATGATTCAGCTTACTAGAATCTTATGTATTTTCGGTTGCATTTGTTACATAAGAAAAATTTACTAATTCTTTATGTTCAAATTAATTTGTGCTTTACCGTCCTTTTAGAGCAATTAAATAAATTTCTAGAGGATTATATTAAGAACAGAATATCACCTTAGGCACAATATATTATTAATGGGAAAAACTGCTGATTTTGGTTCAAATATTTTGTACTTTCATATAATGGCTATTTTATATTTAGCAATATATCTTCTTCCTCTTTAAAGAAGTAATATATTAAGGGTGGGAATAATCAGATCATTTGTTTAGATTTTTCAGTTATACTAAATAAAGATTAAAGAGAAACAACATGCTTGGATAGTTTTTAATCCTCTACCATTTGGACAAAATAATACCAGACAGGAATAAGCCATTTCTATAATAATAATTATAATACATAAAAGTTTATAATTTATGCTTCCAAAAGCATCTATTTTTTTAAAAAGCTTAAATTTTAACAAATGCCCAAGAGGTAAAAAATGATTTGCTTTGTCAACTATGGAATTTGATAACCAATCTAGAAGAGAAGTGATAAGTCTTCTAAAAACAACAAATATGCGATGGGGGCAAAAGTGTAGGTTTACAGTTGTGAGTACGTGAAGTACCATTTATTCTTGTATTACTTAGTAATATGTTTTATATATGAACCTACTTTTGCTGTATCATGTATGTTATTTATCCAAGAGATTGCTCTGAATCCAATATTAAAAATAAATATTGTATGCTTGGATACATTTAATAATTTGGATATATTTAATTATTAAATACATTGAATAATTTTTATATAAAAAAGGCCTGTATTTTTGCAACTAATATAAGTCCGGTTTTTATTTAAATATTCTGCTTTGATTGGTAATATTAGATAATACTAATAATTTTCTATAAACATAAAACGTTATTTTATAAAATTGCACAATAAAATATATATTCAATATCTCACAGGAAGGTGAAGTTGTTGCTGTTAGTGGTGGAACCTCTGAAGAAGAGGAGAGAGCATGGCACAGTGATGGCAGTTCTAGGTAATTTAATGAATTTTTATTTCTCCCAATGTAATTAATGTAAACTCTTTAGAAAGCTGAATATTCTTTTGTATCAGTCTCTTTGATTTCAGATTTGCTCCTTTTTCAGAGATATTTTGTAGTCATCCAAAATTTAGATTTTCTTTGTAACATGTTTTCTCTACTAGAAAAAAATTTGGTTATTGCAGCTAGATCTACAGAGATGCTTTATCTTTCCAGGTGATGTTTTATTATTGAATGTTATTTTAACACTGACCCACAAATTAGTTTCATTACAGGTTTTGAGAACTATTTGAACATTAAATTATGAAAGTAATGAGATCTTACAGAATTAACTATCTTATATAGTAGAATTTGTTGAATGCTGTTAATAATTTTTTTCCAGTAGTGAGAGTAAGTTTTTCTTTTTCCTGTTACCGCCACCTCATTTGGTCATGTAAGTGAGGATTCTTTCAACTTCTTATGGTAGTAATTCACATAATTACAGGGCTGATATTCTTGTCTGACTTTGTAAGATCTTAGTAACAAGAAGGAGTGAAGCCTCTGGAGATGATAATCATGTTTAGCTCCTCACACTTACTCCTTAGCAGCAGTAGCTTTTAATATACAATTGTCAGAGTAACCATGAGGATGGAGGCTTTAAGAATTCCATATGTCAATGTTGGAATCAAGGGCTTTCCTATGTCCACAACAGAAATGATAGGCAAGTGCTCATGGTTATATCTGGTAGGTTCCTGCATTTGAAACAAGGCAGTGAAACAAATATTTTCTTGTGGGCAATTTTATAAAGAACATGGGCTTTCAGTTTTATAGTTAGGTCTATGCTGGCAGCAGAAGATTTTCCATAAGAACTGAGTGCTTCAGATACTAGCAACTGTCAGTATTTGGCAGGTGCCATTTGCAGGGACCGTGACTGCAGCAAGTATAAATAAATGGTTATAAGTTGAGAACATTCTTGTATAGATATTTGCTCTACAAATGCATTCCCATGCATCTAGAATAGTGTCTGAAGTTTTTTAAGTTCTCTAGAATCAATTTTAAAATGAAGTCTGAAATCATACTAGAAAGCCAGTTAATTATTTGAATTTTATCTGTGGTGATAATTCTTGGGGAGGTATAGGTAAATGCCTATAAAGGACATTGAGCCAAGGGGAGGAGAGGTGGTGGGAGTGGAATAAAATTTCAGAAAAATCTGTCCTTTCAAGATTTACCAGGAATATTTTTAAAAGAGTGAGGTCATATATCACTAAATTTAGGCAAATAATTATTGATTTTAACATAGTATAACTTAGATTTAAGGCATTTATATTTGTAAAACTGTATAAAATCAAGTAATGTTCTCATATACTAAAATTGAAACAGAAGATAACATAACTGGATTCTTTATTTTGCAACAACATTAGCTAAGCATAACTTTTAAGTCTGTTAAAGGTAAACTGAAAAGAAATGGCAAACATGAATTGTAGTGATACATAAAATAATAGGGTAAGGGTTGAAGTTTTTTGAATCATGGCATGCTTCGAAGCATAAGATATATCTAAGATATATGTAAATGCTCAGTATAGTTTACAATCACAACCTTTTCACTGAACAAAAATACTTCTGATCTTGCCATGAGGGCATCAGTGTTCAACATAAGAAATTCCCCTGGCAAGAGCTCTCACGTCTCAAAAAAAGTAATCCCTGTGCCTCCTTCTCCTCAGTGTTGATACTTCCTGTGCTGTCCAGGGCTATCTTTCTACTGTTACTAGAATTGAGGAACGTGATTCTGCTGCTTGTTTTTGCATGCCCCACAGTATTTTGAACATATGAAGCACTATTAAATTAATATGCCTAAAATCATAGAAGGCACTTAAATTCATTGTTTCAATTAAAGCTGTGGCCCTGCCTTAGCCAGTTTGGCTCTGTGGATAGAGTGTTGGCCTGTGGACCAAAGGGTCCCAGGTTTGATTCTGGTCAGGGGCACATACCTAGGTTGCAGGCTCCTCCCCGGCCTGGGCTTGCACAGGAGGCAACCAGTCGATGTGTTTCTCTCCCATAAATCTGTGTCTCTGTCTTTCCCTCTGTCTTCTAGTCTCCTTAAAAATCAATGGAGCCCTGTCTGGTTTGGCTCAGTGGATAGAGTGTCTGCCTGTGGACTGAAGGGTCCCAGGTTCGATTCTGGTCAAGGGCATGTACCTTGGTTGCGGACATATCCCCAGTGGGGAGTGTGCAGAAGGCAGCTGATTGATGTTTCTCTCTCATCGATGTTTCTAATTTTCTACCCCTCTCCCTTCCTCTCTGTAAAAAATCAATAAAATATATATTTTTAAAAAATCAGTGGAAAAATATCCTCAAGTGAGGATTAACGACAACAACAAAAAGCTGTGGGCTTATTTATCTTAATTTTTTTTAATATATTTAAGTAAGTTAAGCCTATAGAATTTTAAGAAACTGTTTAGAAGATAATGAGTTGAAAGTTAAGGAAATACTTTAGTTTATTAATATGTACTATTTTGTCATTTATCTTTATTATACTCTTTTTTGCATTTTTATAAAACAGTCTTAATATGTATTTTGTCTGTGTGTGTTTTAAATAATTTTTTTCTTTTCTAGTGACTACTCCAGTGATTATTCTGACTGGACAGCAGATGCAGGAATTAATTTGCAGCCACCAAAGAAAATTCCTAAGCATAAAACCAAGAAAGCAGAAAGCAGTTCAGATGAAGAAGAAGAATCTGAAAAACAGAAACAAAAGCAGATTAAAAAGGAAAGGAAAAAAATACATGAAGAAAAAGATGGACCAATATCACCAAAGAAAAAGAATCCCAAAGAAAGAAGACAAAAGGTTAATTTTTATATAAACTAATGTTTTCTATGAAAACAAAGCACACATTTTAAAAGTGCAGTTTATGAACATTAACATTGTTGAGCTGTACCAGCAAGCAGTAATAGAAAAAATTTAGAAGTATACAGTAGTAAAACAGAGTACAGCAGGTCCTTGAATAAGGTTTCAATTAATAGCCATTTGATGTAATGGTATGAGATGCTATAGGAACACTTGTTTATATTAATTAGCCTCTTATAAATTGGTTTTATTATATGTCATTTCGACTTTGTAAGTCAGAGATCCTATTAACAACCGTGAGTACTTAATTATATATCAAAATATATTTAGTTTATTCAGGTTTAAATATTTACCTTATGAGAGTGTTTTCTTGTAGAATTAATTACTTTCTAAATATTGAACATTTCGTCTATAACAAAAGCAGATTTTTCTTGACAATCCCATGGGATTTGTTTATGTATGTTTTTTAAAATCTACAGTTTATTAGTCCTTTAATTGCCATTACCTTTTAAACACCCTTATTTTTATTTCTGAAAATAAACAGGAAACATAGGGAGAACATCACCTGGAATAAGAATGGCAAAATTTGGCCTTTGGGGATCAGCCCAAATCTGGCAGTCCGACATCCCCCAAGGGGTTCCGGATTGTGAGAGGGCACAGACCAGGCTGAGGTACCCCACTGGTGTGGGCCTCTAATCCTATCTAATAAAGAGGGAATATGCTAATTGACCCTCCTGCCATCACAAAGAGGGTGGCATGCACAGCCAATAAGGAATGAATATGCTAATTGACTGTCACGCCCTCAAAGATGGAGACACCCACAGCCACAAGATGGCAGCGCCCAGTCCCCTCAGCCCCGCTGGGCCAGCAGGCGTGCGGCAAGGCCAGGCCCACCTCCAGGCAGGGCTGACCCGAGGCACAGTCAAGCTTCAGATGGCGGCTGCCCAGCTGCCCAGGGCTGCCTGAGGCTCAGGTAACCAGGGCCAGCCAAGGCTTACACTGCCACCACTAGCAGCAGCAGAAGTGTGATGGGGGCGTCTCCTTCCCCTGATCTCCGGTGAGGGCTCCCGGGACTGTGAGAGGTGGCAGGCCGGGCTGACAGACCACACCCCTTCCAGTGCATGAATTTTCACGCATCGGGCCTCTAGTATAAATATAAAGGCTGTAACAAGCCTTTACTAATTTATATAGTATGTGAGCTATAATCACATGGTCCTTAGTCTGTCATTTGTAGAATTAAATACTAGGGTCTTTTAAGGTCTTTATCCCCAAAGACCTTTGAACGTTTTAAATAATTCTTTAAATTTGTCTAAAGTGTTTATTTTATACTAGAGGCCCGGTGTTTGAAATTCATGCACTCGGGAGGGGGGGTCCTCAACCCAGCCTGCACCCTCTCGCAGTCTGTGAGCCCTCGGGGGATGTCTGAGTAACAGCTCAGGCCCGCTTCCTGTGGCAGTCAGACATCCTTAGCGCTGCCCTGGAGGTAGGAGATGCTCCCTTCACCACCACTGAGCTTGCCAGCCATGATTTGGCTTCTGGCTAAGCGGCACTCCCCCTGTGGGACCATACAATGACCACCAGCATTGAGCATCTGCCCCCTGGTGGTAAGTGTGTGTCATAGCGACTGATCGTTTTTTGCTGTTAGGTCAATTTGCATATTAGCCTTTTATTATGTAGGATGTCTCCATTGAGCTCTTGTTTGTTTCAGCTTTATAGTTATGAATTACTTTAATTTGGATTCCACTGCCTGCTGTTCTTGTTGTCTCCTCCTTTTATCTGGGGAAGATTTGCCAAAGAGAATACCATGCTTTTGCTCAGTTTTCTTCTTCTCTCTTGTCAGTTATGATAAATGTATATGGACCCATTATTTTATGTGGTAGATTGGTTAAAGAAACCTTATTTAGCCATGTATCTCACTAAAAATGTTAACACTTTTTTTCCCTAAGTTCGAGACAATTCTGATTCACCTTTGAGTTTTGCACTGTGAGACTATAACTCTTTTTTACTTTGTGGTTTCCTTTGATTGATAATCATCTACAAACTAATACCTTAGGCTTCTTTATGCAATGCTGCATTTTTATTCGCTATTACTGTTTGGTATATTTTAATTTCACTGTTTTACTTATACCAGTAGTGTTGTAACAGGATCTATCTGCCACTAAATTTATGTGGGACAGATTTAAAATATAGTAAGATTACACCCTAGCCGGTTTGGCTCAGTGGATAGAGCATCAGCCTGTGGACTGAAGGGTCCCAGGCTCAGTTCTGGTCAAGGGCACATGCCCAAGTTGCAGGCTCGATCCCCAGTGTGGGGGTGTGTCGGATGCAGCTGATCAATGATTCTCTATCATCATTGATGTTTCTATCTTTCTCTCCCTCTCCCTTCCTCTCTGTAGTCAATAAAAATATATTTAAAAAAAAATAAAATATAGTAAGTCTAGGATATTGTAGGCCATTTCCTTTCATTTGGATTTTGTTCACATGGTTTGGTGCTAGCCTACTAGTAGTAGATCCAGCAGTGGGTAGAATTGTCCTTATTCCTTAGTCTTCTTGTTATCTCAACTAATGTTTCCCTTTTTATGCATAGAGTTGTAGAGCTGGAAAATAAGAGATCATTAAGCTATTGATATTATTGCTTCTATTAAAATATTTTCCATGTGACTAATTCTGTTTCAATTAATTAAGCAAGAAAATCAGTAAGGTAGATATAGAAAATGCTTATAAGAAAGTAGAATTCTCCAAAAATGAACTAAAGAAATCTCAGATGGTATCTGACATATATCCCTTAGGGTTTTAGGGGCTCTGGAAACCAGATCAATAAATTTTTATTGTGTGCTTATTATTTATAAAGCAATACAGTGGATAAAAAGATATGCAAGACATAGTTAATATTTATGCTAAAAATAATGTGTGACTAACAAGTTGCTTGAATCCCCTAAGGTAAAAATAGAAGAAATAATCATACGTTTAGTTGCCAGATAATGTTTAAAAATAATAGATCAGAAACCAAATGGGGACATCTTATTTTAGAGTTTTAGATAAGGCTTTCAGAAGAAATAAGATTTGAGGTGGGCCTAGAAGAATTTCTATGGGTAGAAAATAAATTAATTACCCATATTTCCAAAATTTAAAAGAAATCTTATCATTAGGCTAGAAATTTTGAGGAATATTCAGCACATTTTATTCCCTAACTGGTTTTAAATACTAAGTGACAGAAATCTACTTTAACCAAAAATTATAAGTGTTCTAAGAATTATTGGTGAACAAGATTTATTCTCAAAATGATTCTTGGCTATGCAAGAGTCTTACAGTTATAAATATAGTTATTCCTGTTTAATGTCCAATTTATCTAGCTTTATGTAAGAGTGATTAGTTATTGCAATAAACATAGAATTTTCCTTATGGGAAGAAATACTTGTCTAATTTAAGTGACAATTAAATTTAAGTGACAATTAAATTGACAGTCCTTACTGAGGCTGGGTTTAACAATTTTTAGATTTTTATTTTGTACGTGTTTTTCTCTTTATTAAGTCAAAGGACACCTTTTTTAAAATATACTTTAACTTAAAACCTCAATATATAAAACTGATAAAATTTGTGGATCAAACTCTGATGCAGTACATAGTAACAGTGGCTACTCAGAAACCCTGTGGATAAAATTACCATTCAGGTGTCATCTGACTTAACATAACATTGCAAATCTTAGACATACAAAATTTATTGTCAAGTGATCCTCTGTAGCCTGTTGTACTCTGGTCCTCCTCATCTCATTCCAAAACCTTGATGTTATTCATTGTAATTATTGTGCTTCTTTCTTTTAAATAAGTTCAGCACCTAATTGTTTTCACCATTTCTGCTGTCACTCTCACTTGATTTATTGCAGTAGCCTTCCATCATTCTTTCTACTTCTTCCCTTTCCCCCTTAGAGTCTATTCTGTGAAGCAAGTATTGACAAACTTTTTCTGTAGAGTTCCAGCTATTCTGCCATTGTAGCCTGAAAACAGCCATAGACAATACATAAATGAATAAATATGGCTGTGTTCTAATAAAATTTGATTTATAGATAGCAGACTGAGCTTGGACTGTGGGCCATAATTTCAAAATCCCTGCTCTGATGCATCCAGAGTGATCCTTTAAAAATGCAAGTCAGATCCTATCACTCTTCTGACTAAAATTCTCCAGTAGACACATGTCACATGCAGTAAAAGCTCATCTTTTTTTCCTTCCTTACTCTCCAGGAAGATGTGGTTAATGAAGAGGAAAATGGACATTGAATAGTAGCTCTTACAGTACTTGTTGCACATAGTGTTCTGTGATACCCCATTATGACATTGCTTCTTATAGTGAACTTGCATTAACTCAGTAATAACTGTCTTCTTTTTTAAAAAACACAAGAGAATAAAATTTAGAATCTTATATATATAAACAAAGAACCAAACAGTTTTAATCAATTGTATGAAGTTTCTCTGCTTATAAATACTAGGTTTCAAAGTTCATTTTTTTCTAAGTCTAGTGTAACAACATTCAGACCATGATGGCCACTTGTCGGTGAGCAGCAAAGTTTAAAAGGCCTAGTTTTATATTTATCACATATTTTATATTTAACATATTTTCTAAGTCATCCTTTCTAACCTGTTGTACTCTAGTCCTCCTCATCACTTAGAAAATTAGTTTTCTCAGAGGCCTACTTTTATATTTTTCCACAAAAATTGAAAAGTAAAGTAATTGGCTTAACAGCATTTTGTTTGGGAAAAATCCGAAGAAAATTTTTGTTGTTGTTGTTAGAAGCTAATTGTGAGCCAAGAGTGAGAAATGCTATTTTAAAAAGGGAAGAGGAGTATTCTTGGGCTATAGAGAAGTATAATGCCCAGCCATGGAAACAATTAGACTTCTGTGTTTTACATGAGTTAGCCCATATGAGAATATCTTAGTTGTTATGAACACATTGTGACTAGGATTTAAAAAACAAACCATCAGATATGCTTTGCTTTGCTACATGCAAAGTTTATAAAACTGATGGAACTTTGAGAGAAAGGGAGACTACACAGAGCTTATACTCTGATGTTTATGGGAATATCTTGTCACTTAGTTTTGTTGTGAATGTTGTCTGTAGGTTTTGGATTATCTAGTTTTTTTATGTTGTTTTTTTTGTATGTATGCACAGTGATTTGGCCACTATTGCCATCTTTCCAGAATAGCTTTTTAATACCTAAAAAATATACATTGTTATACAATGATTTCCTTTATTTGTTTAAATACCTTTATAGTTATTTTAAAACACAGATTATAAATGAATGCTTTTACGATAATACTACTTTAAATGTTCTAAACCTTAGAGATTGGCAGTAGGAGAACTAACTGAAAATGGATTGACATTAGAAGAATGGTTGCCTTCAACATGGATTACAGATACTCTTCCCCGAAGATGTCCATTTGTACCACAGATGGGGGATGAGGTACGTTTAAACTTTTAAAACATCCTTTATTTGTTTTTTGAAGTTACTTTAAACATTGTTATAACTCTAGAAACAGAACTCTGGAAGATTGCAGTTGTTTCTTAAAGTATCGCATTCTAGGTGTTTGTAGCTATGTTTGGAAAAAGTGAAGTCAGGAGAAAAGTGCTAATGATCATCTTTTTTGAGATTTCTACAAATATTGTAAATCAAAATAATTTTCAAAATGGAAATTTTGATGACATTTTAAAAACTATCATTTATTTTTAATAATAGAGTTTTGTTGCCAGTTTTCTTTTTAAAATTAAAATACATTAATTTTTCATTTTAGACTTCAGTATTTTCTTTTAATTTCATTCATAAGTTTTATGTAAATGCTTACAATGTTCATAACTTGTCTCTTAGATCTTTAAAAAGTTCTGTTATTTTAGAATAAGAAATATTTCATTTTTAAGAAAATGTGATTGGCCATCATTTGATTTTACACTTTGGACTATGAAATGAAAAATGTATGATCTTAAATCAAAGTTTCTCATTCAGGGATTCGTGTCTCCTTGCATAATGTTAAGAGATAGGATTATCTGGTGTCCAGTAGATGAACAGTAAGAAGTCAGGAATTAAAATGGCTTCTTTAGCAAAGCATACTAATTAGCTGTAGAAAGTGGCAGGTGGCAGTTGATAGTAGAAGGAACTCAAAAACTTTATGTTGCAAAAATAACTCTAATGAACAGTCTAAAATAATTCATGTAGAGATCCTATTTGTCAAAGAAGTTTTGAAGAGTACAGAACATTATCACGTTGTTGTAATTTAGTACAATGATAGATCCTAACAGATCCTGCCACATCAAGAAAATGCTTGATTATATTATATTTAACATACTGTTTCAAGATGGTCAGAAAGTTCATAATTGTTTGTTGAATAATTTCCTATCAAAATGTCCAAGTTGTATTTTTAGTTGTTGGTGCTTAAATAGGTAATTTCTCATTATTCAGCACCATTCATTCCTTCATATTAGATTTCAGACAACTGAATAATGATATTAATGGATAGAATGAAAGTATGTAGAATAATGAATGTACGAAAATATTACTAAGAACTTAATAACATTTTTAAAAATTTTAATACCTTTTTTTTTAATAAGCTCTATTTTTTTATTAGTGGGAAGAATTTTTGGTATCCAATTACTGTGTTCAAGTATCAGTTCTACAGGACAGTAGTCAGGAGTTACTTAAATTTGACCTTTATAGCATAAGGATAAATGGATGTCTTGCTGTTTTTATAAGGATAAAATATATGTGACAATACATTTTTCACTTTCAAGTTCTGCATATGTATAAACGACTGCTGCAAAAGTAAGGGAACAATAAACCTAATCATGATCCGTCATCATAGCTTTTTTATGCAACAAGATTAACTTATTTTGAATAAAAAAATAAAATGGTGAAACAAAAAACACTAAAAAATGACTACTCTTCTTAGTCTATAACAAAATTAATGTTATTTTGAACACTTCAGTTATGATTGACATTTTAAAACACATGGCACAGGGGTTACACAACACATTAAGGATTTCTGCTGCAGACTCAGCTGCTTAAGAGCCGGGTGAATCACAGCACATGACACAGCCACCGAATGAACCCCATCCTCGGACTACTTGAAAATATTATTGAACTATATACAATAAATTGTGTTCATTTATTATCATTATTATTATTAAGTAGAGGCTCGGTGCATGGATTCGTGCACCGTTTGGGTTCCTCGGCCTGGCCTGCGGGGATCAGGCTGAAACCAGCTCTCCAACATCCCCTGAGGGGTCCCGGATTGCGAGAGGGCGGTTCTCAGGTGACACACCTCCTCTGGTTCCGGGTGTGTCACCCGAGAACTGTAGCTGCCAAGTCACTGCAGCTCAGCAGTTCCTGCGTTGAGCGTCTTCCCCCTTGTGGTCATAGCTACTGGTCTAACAGTTGGATACTCACTTAGGCTTTCATATATATAGACTAGAGGCCCGGTGCATTAAATTCATGCACAGGTAGGGTCCCTAGGCCTGGCCGGTGATGAAGGCTGATGAGGTTCCATGCCTCCTCCTTACCTCGCTGTCTGCACACCACCACTGTACAGTTCCCCACTTCTTCCTTCCCTTGCTACCCGTGCACCACTACCATGTGGTTCCCGCCGCTGCCTCCTTCCCTCGCTCCCTCAGCACCCTGCTGCCACTGCTGGTTGCCCACCATGTTCCGCACTGCTCCCTTGTGGTCAGCGCATGTCATAGCAAGCGATTGAACTCACAGTCGAGCTCTCAAGAAGACATTTTGCATATTATCCTTTAATATATATAGGTATTTAGTTCAAAAAAAAGAAACAAAAACTTGAGGAAAAGAAGGGGGAAAATAAAATATTAGAATAACTTTAAAGGACATTAAATTCTTGCATATTGAGTTAAAGGAAACACATTCAAGTTTTAAATTGTGACTTTATTTACTTCTCAGGTTTATTATTTCCGACAAGGACATGAAGCATATGTTGAAATGGCCCGGAAAAATAAAATTTATAGTATCAATCCCAAAAAACAACCATGGCATAAAATGGAACTACGGGTATGATATTCATTACTATTTAATTGCCCCAAATTACATATTTATGGAATATGGAGAAAATGATATTGTTAATAGTTTTACTATAAGAAACTGTATCATGAAGATACCTTTCTTAATTGAAGCAGTCTGGGGAGTAGAGGGTGTTTAACGTTCTAAGAAACACAAGATTGACTAAATTTGTATACTCTGATAGTTTATAAACTGCGTACAAAATATAATTACAGTGAAAATTAGACAACACTAATGTCTAAGGTAAAAATTCATGTTTGTAAATTTGTTAAGTATTTCTAGATTTATCAGCAGTACTTCAGAATTACTAGTTCTAAACCTCTAAGTGTTGGAAAACTCTTATTTCATTCAAAGGTTTCATTCTAGTTTTTCTTTACTGTTTAAAATTTAAATATAAATCCTTGGGTTATGTCGGCGATCCATTCCTACGGCGCGACGTAATGCAATTTTTGCTGTAAGTCGGAACCCACCTACATAAGCTCCTATGTCACTCACATGGAGCACATACACAGCAGTAATGAAGTGAAACAGTAAAAAAAAATTTAAAAGAAAGATGATTCCTGATGTTTACTTGTGGTAAATAAATAATAAAAAACATAAAGCACATAGGTTCATACGTTGAAATGACGGAACTTTTTTTTATATAAATAAATGGGAGATGGCGACGTAACCACGAAATGATGTACGTCGAGTCCGGTGTAACCTGAGGACTATCTGTATGTACCTCAATGAATTTACTTATGTACACACACACTAGAGGCCAGTGCACGACATTCGTGCACTGGAGGTTGTGGGGGTCCCTCAACCTGACCTGCACCCTCTCCAATCTGGGAGCCCTCAGAGGAGCCCTCTCCAATCTGCGAGTTTCTGTCTTTGCAATCATATGAGCGAATTGTCTGAGACCCCAACTCAGTTTAGTTTGTTGCTCAGAGAATAATAGATGCTTTTTTTTTTTCTTTGCTTCATTGGTGGAGATTTCCTGGAAGTTTTAGGATATTTTCCCTTTAATTTTTCCTAGACACTCTGATTTTACTTAAGTCTCTCACCTTTGCTTTCCCTCCATCCCCCACCACAACAGTAACTTGCTCCAGGCTCACTTTGCTCTAGTGCAGCAGTTCTCAACCTGTGGGTTGCAACTCCTTTGGGGGTCAAATGACCCTTTCACAGGGGTCGCCTAAGACCATCGGAAAACACATAGATAATTACATATTGTTTTTGTGATTAATCACTATGCTTTAATTATGTTCAATTTGTAGCAATGAAAATACATCCTGCATATCAGATATTTATATTACAATTCATAACAGTAGCAAAATTACAGTTATGAAGTAGCAATGAAAATAATTGTATGGTTGGGGGTCACCACAACATGAGGAACTGTATTAAAAAGTCGCGGCATTAGGAAGGTTGAGAACCACTGCTCTAGTGTCTAGGACAGTGGTCGGCAAACTGCGGCTCACGAGCCACGTGTGGCTCTTTGGCCCCTTGAGTGTGGCTCTTCCACAAAATACCATGTGCGGGCGCGCACATACATTGTGATTGAAACTTCGTGGTCCATGCGCAGAAGTCGGTATTTTGTAGAAGAGCCATACTCAAGGGGCCAAAGAGCCACATGTAGCTCGTGAGCCGCAGTTTGCCGACCACTGGTCTAGGAGATCCGTCTGCCACCAGAACTACGATTCTCAACATTCCTGGTGCTCCCTGCGCTCTGGGCTTTCGCTTCTGGTCCTGGGGCTGCCACCAAAACTATTCCAGAATTCCTGGTGCTCCCTGCGATCTTGGTTTTACCCTTCCTACTTTGTCTCCATCCCATGGCCTCCCACTCTGCCACGTCTTCCAAGCCGCCAGCTCTCCCTCTCTGCTCTCTGTCTGGCGGTTTGGGTAGCCAATTTTCCCAAGCTGCTCCATTCTCTGCCGGCTCTCCCACTCTGCTCTTCGCCCTGCGCCTGTGTATGCAAATTAATCTGCCATCTTTGTTGGGTTAATTTGCAGGCTGGTGAGTGTAGCGGAGGGATGGTCAATTTACATGTTTCTCTTTTATTATATAGGATACACACAGAGTAAATTACCTATATGAAGATTTAAATGAAGATGCTTTTTCAGTTATGTTTAGCAATTCATTTATCTTGTGATGATGGTTTCTTATTTCCTGTATCTTCCTCAGGAACAAGAACTGATGAAAATAGTTGGCATAAAGTATGAAGTGGGCTTGCCTACCCTTTGCTGCCTTAAACTTGCTTTTCTAGATCCAGATACTGGTAAACTGACTGGCGGATCATTTACCATGAAGTAAGGACTGTTGAAAAAGGCAATAGTTTCTTAGTATTGTAAATTGTTTATCAAGATTCAGTTAAATTTGAATGTCTCTTAGATATTTTTAGGTATGTGACCTAATCAGTTTGTTTCTCTTTGTAATTAGATACCATGATATGCCTGACGTAATAGATTTTCTAGTCTTGAGACAACAATTTGATGACGCCAGATATAGGCGGTGGAATATAGGTAGGTAATTTTAGAAACCATAGATGTTTGTTTTTAATCTAATCATTTAATATTTTTCATTATTTAGGAAAAGATAACCACAGAAATTGTCTTGTCATTTCTGGGAATATTAATAGCAAGTACAATATTGTGTCACATACTTTTAAATAATTTTTTTTATGAATGAAATGCTTTTAATTTAGTTGATGCTGAAATTCTAAGCATTTGTTTCTCTTACATTTGTTAACTTATACGGTTCTTTATAGCTGTTCTTTAGCTGTTTTGTTTGTTAACTTAAATCTTTATTCAGAAATATTAATAATTCAAAATTGAAGCAAAAGATGTCTTCAAGGTTCAAAATGTTTAATAATAATTTAGACTGAGATTAAAGCTAAATTGACGTTTTTTGTTCGTTTAACTGTTATGTAATTCTTAAACATTAATACTGTTATCAAAACTCAAAAGACATTTTAAAATCCTTAAAAGTTTCTAGGTATTTAAATGCATTAATTTATGTACAAATGGATGTGCTGTTCATTAAAGTATTTCTTTTAAAAATGTCGTGCAGGCCACTCTTTGTCATCTTGGAGTGAAATGTGAATTTATAGATAGCATAATGTGGTTTGAAAAGGCACATTAATTGATATATCATTCAATCTCTCTTCCAGTGCCATTGCCATGATTTGTCTTTTTTTTTGTTTGGGCTTGGTGGACTTGGAAATGTATATGTGTTTTCTAAAAGGAAAAATTAGGAAAATTCAAGTTATCAAAATTACGGTCATGGGAGTTACCAAAAAAATTATGTATCATGTATCATTTCTCTGGAAGTTTTGAAAGGTGTATTCCATAAAATAAGGGAGTAAACCAAGATAGAGAAAGATATGGAATCCCCCCATCCCACAGGAAACAGGAAATTTTTTCAGAGCAGATAGGAATTCCCAAGTAATAGTCAACAAAAGTCTAAGGATAGTGTCTAGCAAGCCTATAAAACAACCAGATCAGAAGATATTATCTACCAAGAATGCAGTCTTCGGGGGGGGGGGACAAAATGGATCTGATAAATTATCTAACATGTTTGACTTTGTGGGAAATTATATTGGAGAGTGCTTTTTAGTTTGAGCTGTTAGAGAATGTGGGAAGACAATCATAAGTGCAGAGAAAACTAACCATTTAAAAAAATGGAACAATTCTTAAAACATACAAGAAAGTAAGTGTGTGCAACTTGACTTAGGAGCAGAGAATATTTACATAGTCATGATAAAGAAAAACAATATGGATTAAATAAAATACATATACCTTTTATATACAGCTGTATGGATAGAGGTCACTACTTAATGTCTAAAATTGGTGAATGGAGAAATAGATCTATATTCATTATTTAGAAATTTGTAAGTATCTCAAGTTGGTAGAGTTAAAAGTTTTCTTGGTTTTGGTTATAATTTTGTACATTTGAGTTTCAAAAATTATTTGCATGCGTTGGTTGATAAGGTACATTTTATTTTTTTAAGAACATGCATCTGCCAATTAATTGCAGAACAAATATTCGTGCCCACAAATATATCAGAAATGAGCTGATAACAAACTAAGGAGATAAATATGGCGAGCATTAGAGAAATAAAAGAGATATTTCAAATGGATGTACATCAGAATTTTTTCATTTGGATCTTATAGCCACTACCACCGCCAAATTTATAGATTAATATTTCTTCTAAAGTTAGTACTCCTTAGTCTTTTATTTCTGAAGATATAGTAGTGCCAAATCCTTGTCCACGGGTATGTGTTTCAAGGCTCCCAGTGGATACCTAAGGCTGCAGATAGTACAGAACTTTATATATAGTATTTTTCTATGCATACATACTGTGATAAAGTCAAATTTATAAATTAGGCACAGTAAAGAGATTAACTACAATAAGTAATAAAATAGAATAATATAACAATATATTATAATAAAAGTGAATGTTTCCTCTCTCTCTCTCTCTCTCTCTCTCTCTCTCTCTCTCTCTCTCTCTCTCTCTCTCTCGGTGTGGGATGTCCTAAGATTGCTTCTTGCTACTCAGAATTGTGCACAATTTAAAACTTAAAATATTGTTCATTTTTGGAATTTTCTGTTTAATATTTTCAGTCTGTTGTTGACCACAGGTAACTAAAATTGTGGAAAATGAAACTGCATGTTGGGGGGACAGGGCTATAGTGTATATGTATCTGTATAACAACTGCTGTTTCAAATTATATTAATAGTAATTGCTCTAGCCTACTTCAGAAATGTTTAATGCTTACTTTGACTAGTGGACTCTATTCCTTGTTTAACTTCATTGTTATCACTGTAGTGTACCATTCATTTGGGTTAGGCATTCATTGTTCAGTTCTATCTCTTTAGAATAATGTCATCAGTCTATGTAGGATCGTAGTTACTAGGTGTACCGGTTAATAATGTGGATTTAACATCATAGATATTTTTACGCTTAAAAATGTGGAATTTCATGCCAAATAAAAGCATTTGTGGGAAGTTTTAATTCATAATTTTGAAGAGAAAGTTATTGTGTACTTCAAGAAGCTTATGGTGAACATGCTCCATCTCAAGGTACTTGTGAACGCTTTAAAAGCGATGATTTTGATGTGAAAGACAAAGAATATCCAGGTTAACCAAAAAAGTTTGAAGACCAACAATTACAAGCATTACTGGATGAAGATGTGTGTTAAACTGAAAAACAACTTGCAGAAAGATTAAACGTTGCTCAGCAAACAATTTCCGATCATTTACAAGCAATGGGAAAGATTTTGAAGGAAATGGTGCCACATCAACAACTGAACGAAAGACAAATGGAAAACCGAAAAGTCATCAGTAAAATGTTGCTTCAGTGGCACAAAAGGAAGTCCTTTTGCATCGAATTGTGACTGGCGATGAAAAGTGGATTTATTTTGAGAATCCCAAGTGCACAAAATCGTGGGTTGATCCAGGTCAACCATCAACATCGACTGCAAGACCAAATTGCTTCAGAAAGAAGACAATGCTCTGCGTTTGGTGGGATCAGGAAGGTGTGGTGTATTATGAGCTTCTAAATCCAGATGAAACCGTTAATACTGGTCATTACTGACAACAAATAATCAATTTGAACCACGCTTTGATCATGAAATCACCAGAATGTGTCAGAAGACACAGCAAAGTAATTTTGCTCCATGATGACACACCATCACAAACTTAAAAACCAGTTAAAGACACGTTAAAAGATCTTGCCTGGGAAGTATTAACCCACCCTCCATATTATCAGACCTTGCTACTTCAGATTACCACTTGTTCCAATAGATGGCACATGCACTTTCTGAGCAGCACTTCAAAACGTACGAAGAAGTGGAAAATTGGGTCTTTGAATGGTTTACCTCAAAACAAGAAAAGTTCTATTGGGACGTTATCCACAAATTACCTGAAAGATGGGGAAATGTGTAGCTAGTGATGGACATTACTTTGAATAAAGCACTTTTGATGTTTCTCTTGAAATTATCGTGTTTTCTTTGATTACAAAATCTGCCATTAGTAACCGGTACACCTATATGAAACTCACCATTCATTATATTTACTGTAAGGTGGTGGTGTCAAGAATGCTGGTTATTATCCTTGGTCAGGTGGCTGAGTTGGTTGGAGCATTGTCCTGTACACCAAAAAAGGAAAAAAGGTTGTGGGTTCGATTCCCTATCAGGGCACATACCTAAAGTTGTGGGCTCGATCTTAGTCAGGGTGCCTATGGGAGGCAATCAGCCAATGTTTCTCTCTCTCTCTACAATAATAAAACAAAAAATATATCCTTGGTGAGGTTAAAAGAAAAAAATGCTATTTATTAAATTATATAGTTTCTCGCTAAGCTTAGTATCACTCATGCATCTGAGGGACTATTAGAGACTCAAATATAATGATAGCTCATATTTCTGTCTTGACACTGGCTGTTAGAATGCTTGAATGTAAACTTGGATCCCAGTGTATACCCACTCAGAGACTATGTATAACTTAACAACATGTACTCTTGGCTCCAGCTTTTTTTTTTTTTTTTAATCAATAAATTTCTTTTATCTCCTTTTTAAATTTTTATTTTAAATCCTTTCTGGTAAAAAATGAGAACAAACAAATACTAATTAATTTGTTCAAAGTCACGTGGGTAAGTTATTTGAACTCAACCTATGCTTTTCAGGAGAAAAGTCATTAAGTACTAAAGTAAAGTACCATGAAAGCCAGGGAAGGGGAAAATGTGTCAAAAAAGGAAGAGAGTAGTTTGTAGTTTTCATATGACATAGAGGAAAGCTGAGAAGATAACTTATTAGGTCAGTTTCCCTAATTTGCATTTGGGTAAGGAAGGAAAGGTAAAGAGTGAATCTGTTTTACAAAGATTAGTTGTTTTTGTTTCTTTTTCATTTGTTTTTTTATAGGAAAGGGAGAGTGTATGCATGAGTGTTATAGCTGGGGGTAATTGAGATGAAGGAAGGTAGTTTGGATTTTGGTTTTTGGTTTTGTTATTTTTAGGCTGGACTCTTGAATGTTGGTTAGAGTAACCTAGCTATAGGAAATAAGAAATTAAAAGATAGAGTATAAATATTTGTTGAGCAGAAATTATGAAACTATACATTTATTTGAATGAAGAATTTTGACATAGTCCTTACGAATTAAAAATTCTAGATTGTTAAAAATGCTTGAGGCAAGAGTGAATTTCTTCTTACCTAATAAAATGTAAGAAATGGTACTGGAAACTGGTAAGTCACACTTCAGGTGTGCTTATTAAATAACTTTTTTCCCAGTATTGCTGATTTATTTACTTATTTTGAAGTTTGTATGTCACTTTTTATATAACTTCTGAAATCATACAGGCAGTTTAAGTATCTCAAGGTTATACTTTTGGATAAAGGAGCAACGATAGCAGTTTTACATTTCAGAGTAATGAGATGGCTTTTATTCTTGTCCAGGTGACCGTTTCAGATCAGTCATAGATGATGCCTGGTGGTTTGGAACAATTGAAAGCCAGGAACCTCTTCAACATGAATACCCTGATAGTTTGTTTCAGTGCTATAATGTTTGGTAAGGAAGTGTTTATTGTAATTTAGTGCAGCCTGAGTTGCTTTGAATGTTTTCCCCATCTATCTGTATAAAAGCCTAATATGCTAAGTGTCTGACGGTTCAACCAGTCACTATGGCGCGCACTGACCACCAGGGGGCAGATGCTCCGACCAGTAGATTAGCTTGCTGCTGGGTCCGGCTGATCCAGACTGAGTGAGAAGGGCCAGACACGCCCTGTAGCCCTCCCACAGTCCCGCCCCAACTGGCCAATCTCCTGAGGTCCCTCCCCAGCCTCTAAAATATTTCTTCTAATTAATTTCCTTTCCATGTGCATGAATCCATGCACCAGGCCTCTAGTCTATCCATAAAGAGATAGAAATTCTTCTTTTAAACACTGAAGCAATTATTTTTATGACACGATGTTATTTTAAAAATTGAATAACAGTATTTAGGTTTTTTTAATAACTATTTTTTTTTTTTTTTTTACTTTAAGCTGGGATAATGGTGATACAGAAAAGATGAGTCCTTGGGATATGGAACTTATACCTAATAATGGTAAGTGTATGTTAGGCTTTTCAGATATGTATTATGGAATTAATTTCTTAAATAAGATACCTGATTTGCTGTTGCATAGGGTTGTATTGACCTGGACTTTAAAGGCATAGCAGTGAACAAGATATACATAATCTTTGCCCACTGGAATTTATAATCTAACAGGGAAGATTGAAGTTAATTAATTACAGCTAAATATGAAATGTTTTGCAAATTATTATTCACTCCTAAAATGTTATCTTTGTAACTCTAGAATACTTAAGAGTATAACATAATATAAAAAGTTCATGCTTGCCGAAACCGGTTTGGCTCGGTGGATAGAGCGTCGGCCTGCGGACTGAAAGGTCCCGGGTTCGACTCCGGTCAAGGGCATGTACCTGGGTTGCGGGCACATCCCCAGTAGGAGATGTGCAGGAGGCAGCTGATCGATGTTTCTCTCTCATCGATGTTTCTGACTGTCTATCTCTCTCCCTTCCTCTCTGTAAAAAAATCAATAAAATATAAAAAAAAAAAAAAAAAAAAAGTTCATGCTTTTGAGTGAGACAGCATAGACTCATATCCTAGCTCTACCATCTTCTGTCTATTCCATATTGGCAAGTTCCTTAAAGTCTTCAAACCAGACTCTTAAGATTCAGCCTTTGAAATTATGTAAACTAATATCTTCCTTAAGGGGCTTCTATGAGGATTAAAAGACACCATTTGTCTAACAAACTTATTATAGAACCCTGACCCATGTAAGGGCTCACTGAGTAGGTAATTACAATTAACCTATCTGTATAATAGAGGAATATGCAAAGTAGCCAGGACGCTGCAACGTAACGACTGAACAGCAGGGACCTGAGGCTGCATGGCGCCTGGCAGGGCAAGGGACCCCAGGCCACGCCCCCCGCCCCTTGGGGTTTGACAGGGACCTCAGGCCGTGCCCCTTGCCTGGTGGGGCTTGATGGGAGACCTCAGGCTGTGCCCTCTGCCCCAGCGCTGGTTTGGGAGACTTCAGACCCCGCCCCGGCACCAGGCCAGGAGACCTGAGGCTGTGTCCCCTGCCCGGAGGGGCTTGACGAGGGTGGGGCCGGCTGGATCTGGGTCTCCCACAATGAGGTTGGGGCCGGCCAGGTCTGGGTCTCCTGCGTTTTCGAAGCACATGCAGGTGGTGGACGGGGACTTGACTCTAGGCGGCGCGGCACGCCCCAGACTCTGACAGGAGGGAGATTTTCATATACATATTACTAATTTTCTTTCATTTCTTGACACTTCTATTATAGAGAAAGGGCAAATAACCATATTAAAATATTTCCTCTAATTAATTCCCTTTTAATGTGCACGAATTTTATGCACCAGGCCACCAGTAATAATATAATAATTGTCACCTTATATATGGCCTGACACTTAGCCTTGGGATTTGGGAGTTAACCTTAGGCAGTGAGTATGACATTTTCTGGAACTGAGAAAAGGCCAGTGTGGCTAAATACTTGAGATTGTATTTTCATTCTACCTCATTACCTATCTTTGTTTCAATTTAAGAAAAAAGCACACATTTTACTGTATATGCATAAAATGTTTAAAAGGATATATATTCTAGATTATTAATAAGGATCATTTATAAAGGCTAAGGATATGAGGACTTCCATAAATTATGTTTTACATTATGCTATATTCAATTTTTTAAAATACTACTTTTACTATCAGATAAAAGATTTTTTTTTAAAAAAGGAAAAAAACATGACTTGTGAAATAGTAGAAATAATCATTTATGAATATTCACTAGTTATTGTATTCTAAGAAGTCAGAGAAAAAAATATAACTTAGAGAAAGTAAACCCAATATGATAAACCTTAGAAATGAGAAAATCATGCTAATATTGTCCAAGACTAGTTTTTCTTAGAAATTATCACTTTAAAAATTTAATACCAGTAGTGTATTTTCATCTCACTACTAGTCTAGAGCTGTTTAATACTTTAAAATATTTTAATCAACTTGTGACCATGTTACATGGCTTATATTCTGATTTTGTTGTTGTTCTTTGTGAAAGTTTAAATTCACATTGCACTATTATGAATATGAAAGAAATGAAGCTGCTAATTAGTGTTGGAATGCCTCAGGTGTTCATTGAAATAAATTGATGCCATTAAGATACTATTTGTTTCCTGCCTAAATATTTCTGTATGTGGAGGGGTACATTTTTGTTGTTTTTTATCTATTTGGATACACATACAATATGTACCCATAGAGTTTAATTGCATTTCGTGAGGAGGAAAAATTTTGTACACAACTTTCTCTAATTTAGGTCTGGTTCAAAGAAAAAATTACTTGGGAGATTTATAGACTTAGGTCATCATAAACCCCTAATAATTCTCTAAAAGATTCAGTTAAAAATTCTATTAAAGATTTAGGCATTCATTAAGGAAACCATCATTTATTTAAGAGCAATAAGCATAAGAATTATCCATCAATATTCATAATTTTCTCTGTTCCTACATTTTTGAAAATGTAAGCTTTATTTGAAGTATTCCAAAAAATCCCACTTTAGTTCAGTTTTACCTTATGTATATTTTATCAAAATAAATAAGGAGATTATATTATGAAATAATTGATAACTTTTAAATTTGCCTCGTTTTATAGAAATACTTTCTACTTTACCTATAAATGACTAGAGGCCCGGTGCACAAAAATTTGTGCACTCGGGGTCAGGGGGGCCCCTCAGCCTGGCCTGTGCCCTCTCGCAGTCTGGGACCCCTCGGGAGATAACGACCTGCTGGCTTAGGTCTGCTCCCGGGTGTCAGAGGGCAGGCCCAATCCCTAGGTGCAGCCCCTGGTCGGGCTCAGAACAGGGCCGATTGGGGAGTTGGGGCGCTGCCCCCTGTCATGCACAGAGTAGGGCAATCAGGAGGTTGTGATGCCACCCTCAGCCACGCTCAGGGTAGGGCCGATTGGGGAATTGGGGCACCACCCCCGTCACACTCAAGGCAGGGTCGATGGGGAGGTTGTGGCACCACCCCCTGTCACGCAGAGAGCAGGGCCCATCAAGGGGTTGGGGCGCCGCCCTCTATCACCCACAGAGCAGGGCCCATCAGGGGGTTGGGGCGCCGCCACTCTCACACTCAGGGCAGGGCCGATGGGGAGGTTATGGCTCTACCCCATCACACACAGAGCAGGGCCTGTGGGGGCGGGGTGGGTTGGTGCGCCACACCCTGTCACACACACAACAGGGCCGATCAGGGGGTTGGGGCGCTGCACCCTGTCACACACAGAACCGCAGGGCGATCAGGGGGTTGGGGAACTCCCCCCTATCAGGCACAGAGCAGGGCTGATCAGGGGGTTGGGGCGCCTTCCCCTGTTACAAACAGAGCAGGGTGGATAGGGAGGTTGTGGCCCCGCCCCCTGTCACACACACAGCCGCAGGGCGATCAGGGGGCTTGGGTGCTGCCCCCTGTCACGATGATCCCGGTGCCGGGAGGCCTCACAGCTCCGCTGATCCCGGTGCTGGGAGGCATATTACCCTTTTACTATATAGGATAGAGGCCTGGTGCACGGGTGGGTGCCGGCTGGTTTGCCCTGAAGGGTGTCCTGGATCAGGGTAGGGGTCCCCACTGGGGTGCCTGGCCAGCCTGGGTGAGGGGATGATGGCTGTTTGCAGCTTGTCACACATCCTTCAGGGTGGGGGTCCCCACTGTGGTGCCTGGCCAGCCTGGGTGAGGGGATGATGGCTGTTTGCAGCTGGTCACACACCCTTCAGGGTGGGAGTCCCCACTGGGGTTCCTGGCCAGTCTGGGTGAGGAGCTGAGGGCTGTTTTCAGGCTGGGGGTGACAGAAGCTCCCAACTGCTCCTTTTTTTCTTTTTATTCTGGGCCAGCTTTAGCTCTGAGGCTTGGCTCCAGCTCTTAGGCCTCCGCTGCTCAAAGTAGGTTTCTGGCCTTTGCTTACAATGTTGTGATTCCCGCGGACTAAAGCAGGTTTCTGGGGTTTTGTTTAGCTTCTATGTTTGTTACATAGTTTCTTAAACTGCAGGCTCAGAGGCCTGCATGGCAGGCGGGGAACTTCCGTTGGAGTCTTCCGTCCCTGAAGCAAGCAAGCCTCATGTTAGTTTCAAGCTGCCTGGCTGCCGGCCACCATCTTGGCTGGCAGTTAATTTGCATATCTCGCTGATTAGCCAATGGGAAGGGTAGCGGTCGTATGCCAATTACCATGTTTCTCTTTTATTAGATAGGATAATAAAGCAAATTGTGAGGTAAAAATTTGGAGAAATAATTAAAAAGTTTTAAAAAATTATTTATTCCCTAGCTGGTTTGGCTCAGTGGATAGAGCATTGGCCTGCAGACTGAAGGGTCCCGGGTTCGGTTTTGGTCAAGGGCATATGCCCAGGTTGTGGGCTTGATCCCCAGTAAGGGGCGTGCACGAAGCAACCGATCAGTGATTTTCTCTCATAATTGATATTTCTATCTCTCTCCCTCTCCCTTCCTCTCTGAAATCAGTAAAAGTATACTTAAAAAATAAAAAATTATTTAAGTTTTATTGACCCTTGGAACATACTTTAATGAAAATAAAGAATATACTTATCAAATCATTATAAAAATTTACTTTAGTTTTATAACAATACCAATTCTATTTTTAAAGATAACCTAAACATTAGGAGATTACCACATATTTTCACTAAATTTGTATTTCTTTCTGTGTATTTTAGCTGTATTTCCTGAAGAACTAGGTACCAGTGTTCCTTTAACTGATGTCGAATGCAGATCATTGATCTATAAACCTCTTGATGGAGAATGGGGTTCCAATCCCAGGGATGAAGAATGTGAAAGAATTGTTGCAGGAATAAACCAATTGATGACACTAGGTAAATGATAATAGTAGCATATCAACATAGAAAAGCTGGAAGAACGCAAACAGAATAGTCTTTCATAATATTAAGTCAGTGGTTTTCAGACACTTTCACGTGGAAGTTTAAAAAATGAGATCTTACACAGGACTTAGATATCTAAAACAGTTATAAATGGGATTGCTCTAGCTGAATTTAGAGTGAGAACCCCCAGAAATGCCAGGGGTATTTCTGAACAATCTGGTTCCTCCAGAACCCAATTTTAAAAACCGTCGACATATTCAGGCTGACATGATGTAGATTGGGAGAGAATGTCTGAAAGCTCAATTATAATTATTTGGATAGCTATGTTAGTTCCCTTAACTTTACAATGCATATACATAGGAGAATATTTGTAAGGGGATGGGAGAAGGACATATTAATTGCTTTGCCTCATAAAATAAAAACAATGACCACAAGTTATCTGGAGTAACTCTAAACTAGTATGGTGCTTTGTAGCAACCTCCTCTTTCAGTCTGGAATCAGTTTCAGAGTCTAGGGAGAAATTAACATGAATAAGAAGAGCTAAAGACACTGGAGACACATTGGATAATATTTTCATCTGAAGTGTTTTATAAAATGGCAACACTTCATAAAAATTGTCTCAAAATGACTTACAATTACTATCTTAAGTAATTTTAGTAGTATTTTAGTACAGATTTAAGTACATGACGTCATACGGTGTGTGCATGAGCAAAAAAAATGGAGCTGCTAATTAGTGTTATATGCCTAGATTTTATCAGTTTACTGTGTGCCATTGGGTCAGTGACTTGGAGCCAAAGACTTTTCTGTATCTGTTTCCTCTTCTCTGCTTGCCTAATATTTCACAGAATTATGTTGCAAAGATTAGATAAGGTGATAAGTTTTGAGAAAATCAAAGGTTACAACATTTGAATGTAATGTATTATTATAATGTTGCTGGTAAAATGTCAAGAACATAGATAACAGGAATGGCCAGGTTTTAATTAGAGAAATGTGTGTATCCTTAGTAGGTCAGATATATATTATTTGTCCTCTTTTCTAAGCAATCCATGAATAACAAATATCTCTAGAATTTTGCAGTGTAATTGTCTAAATAATAAAAAATGGGACTCTTAGGTTAGCTAAATTAATGTATTTCCTATGAAAAGACAGAGGCAGCCTAATGTTATGTGGATCAGACCTTAAGTTTTAATTCATGCAGAATTGTCCATGAAGTATTTTAAGCAATACAAATATAAATTTATAAACTTATTTGTCTTATTTATTTTAGATATTGCTTCAGCATTTGTGGCTCCTGTGGATCTGCAAGCCTATCCCATGTATTGCACTGTAGTGGCATATCCAACAGATTTAAGTACAATTAAACAAAGACTGGAAAACAGGTTTTACAGGTTAGAACTGTTTGCTACTACCAAAGGAAAGCTAAATGATTCTTTCCTCCATTTACTGATCTTCTATAGCACTGTTTCTCAAACATTGATGTACATAAAAATCATCTGGGATTTTGTTAAGGTTTACAGTAGGACCTGAGATTCTACATTTCTAAAAAGTTTCCAGCAATGTTGCTGCTGGTGGTCTTAGAGTTGCTAATATGAGTTTCTGCTCACTGTCTTTATATTGTATTTTATAAAGCAAGCCGAACTATTTCATTTTCTCCAAGATACTGCATTGAAATATTTGTTCGTTAATTGATTTTTCATAGAATAATATAAAAATTTGTCTTTTTTTCTTATTTTGCTTCTATTCAGCTTATGAAGACTTATCCTGAATTTTCATTTTTCAGTTATAGGTTAGCTTGAAATATAACTAGGGGTGTTTTTTTTTAAAGACAATTTTAATTAATTTGCATCATCACCTTCCTGTTAATAATTTCAATAAATATTGAGTTCTAATCTCAGACAGGCTTTGTAGGTTTATTACCTAAAATACCTTGTCAAAAAGTGATTTAAGTCTATAGTTTTGACATAATGAAATCATATTTGTTTTCATTTTTCTTATATGACTTGCTAGACAGGCCAACAACATTTTAATTCAGATAATACTTTATTAAAATTTTCTCTTTCTGACCAGCTTTATATTACTTCAGTTCTTTACATTTTTATTTATTTAAATTAGGAAAGTTTTTATTCATATTTTTCTACATAAAATTAGTGCTTTCCATTCTTTTTATTACTTAAAGTATAACTCTAATTTGGTACTTTGTTTACCTGGCACTGAAAATGCCATTTGTTATTCCTTTCTGACAAAAGTAGATTTTCTCAATAAAAACATTACTGGCATTTGGGGCTGTCCTCTATCCTTTAAGTGCCAGTAGCAGCCCCTAGTTGTAAAACTAAAAATGTCTCCAGACATTGCCAATGGCCAGAGTGGTGGCGGGGGGGAGGAGGGGGGCAGAATCAACCCTGATTAAGAACTACCAGAATAAAAGAAAATTAAGAAATTAGATTGCAGGTTCTGAAGACCTTTCTGATCTTGTTAGGTGTTTCTACTGTTGCTTCATTGATATTTATCAAAAGCATAGGAAATGATAATGTGCCTCCCAGCTATCTTACCTTTGTAGCACATTTCTTTAAATTTTTAACTCCACATGTCAGAAGTTTAAGAGAATAAATGGAGAAGAAATTATTAACTATAGCCTTCTTTCTCCTAGTCCCCCTAAATCGCTATGACTTAGGACTTATATCTAGTGCTTCAAAGATGGAACACGATATGGAGGGTAACAGGGAAAGAATTGTTCTTATACAATGGTTTTTGTACTTCAGCTAGAAAGATAAACTTACGGCATCTCCCACTGTTGTTATAAATATACTTTCTCATAGAAATACTGCTCATTATAAAAATTGCTAAGGTATACATATCAAGTACATTGCAGCTTAAATAGAATTTTTGGCATTAGCCTGGCTTAATAATAATCAAGTTTGGAAAACATCTTTTGGGATACAATCCTTACATAAATTTGAAACTACATGTTTTTCTGATAATATGGTTACAGACCCAAATTATGTTCATAAGTGCCATTTCACTGTTTAAGCTTTTTTGCTTCTCTGTTACTTATTGGCTTCAGACTTCTTACAGTTTATGATTTTCCTCTTCAACACTTCTTTTAGTCTTTCGTTAAACTGTCAATTTGCCCTACTGGTATTAATCTAATACCTTATTTTACACACAGTTTTCTATAGGGTTTTCTGAAGATACATGTGATTTTATTAATAGAATTAGCCTTGTGAATGCTATTTTAAATCCACAGAAGTATTTCTATATCCACAATTATAAATTTTTAAAATTCCATATAATTTTTTTTCACACTTCAGTAATATTCTAGAAGTCATCTTTGGTTTTTCTTTAAGAAATAAGATAATAAACACCAAATGTCAATTCAATGTTAAAAATAATTTTCATATACTTACCTTTCTTGGTAAACTAACATGGTTACTGTGTTTTTATATTTTTATATCACATAAGCAGGCTATCAGTTAGTTTTTCATTTTTACATGTCATTTAATTGCCAGTAATATAATTAGATGAAAATTGTTTTCTCTTCACATAAATGTCAGATATGCTTATTATAAAAAATGACACCATATATGACAGGAATAAGCTAAAAATAAAAACTCCAGTTCCCTTCTGCTACTCTCCCTATAGACAGTCTTTCTCCCTAAAAGAAGGAACATTGTGGATTAGACACAGTGTGTCTAATCAGACATATGCTATGCAAATACATAATGTTACTACATTTTTTCCCCCTTACACAAAGAGGTGATATTTTGAAAATAACTTTAAGGTGTGAGTTTTGTACCTGATTTAAGACTGCAATTTGAAAAGTTTCAATGCCTTGGTTTAAAATTTTGTGGCTATATTTCTAAATATAATGAGGTTAATCCTTCTGTATTTTGTTTAAAGGCGGGTTTCTTCCCTAATGTGGGAAGTTCGATATATAGAGCATAACACTCGAACATTTAATGAGCCTGGAAGCCCTATTGTAAAAGCTGCTAAGTTTGTGACTGATCTTCTTCTACATTTTATCAAGTGAGTTATTTTTCCACACATAATTATAATTACTGTAATAATTAATAGAAATATTGTCAGATACAATCTTTTTTATATGAATAATATCAATGCTGTGTTATACACATGGTCCCACTCAAAACAGGGAGCACATAATGTCTGTCTAAGGCAGCGGTTCTCAACCTGTGGGTCGCGACCCCTTTGGCAGTCGAATGACCCTTTCACAGGGATGGCCTAAGACCATCCTGCATATCAGATATTTACATTACGATTCATAACAGTAGCAAGATTACAGTTATGAAGTAGCAACGAAAATAATTTTATGGTTGGGTCACAACATGAGGAACTGTATTTAAAGGGCCAGAAGGTTGAGAACCACTGGTCTAAGGTAACATTTAAACATTTAGTTCATTAGTATTATTTACGAAATCATAAAAATTGTGTTATACAGTTAACATAAACAAACATGTATCCTTTTCTAAATCCAACTGTTGGACAATAATAATAACTATTTATTGAACATGTAATGTTTAACCTAAAATAATTGTTATAGCCAAAATAATCTTAAATGTGGGAGAGATCATTATCAGGAATTTATAGTTAAGAAAACTGAGTCTTTTAGAGGTTAACTTCACAGTCAATGAATGTCTGCTATTTGACTTGAAAGCCTTTAATCTTAATATTATAGTACCCTGTCAAGTTTATAAACAAGTATTTAAAGAGTCTAGCAGGAGACTAAATTTAACTTTCGAGATGATTCTTCTTTAAAGCCTGCTTTACCTCCTCATTCATTGATCCTATATCAAGAGTGATAACAATCACTTTTTAAGGCAGCCACACTTTTATTTACTTGTCTTGGGGATTTATGTAAGCACTAGAGACCCAGTGCATGAAATTCGTGCACTGGTAGGGTCCCGAGGAGCTGCCTGCAGGGGCCTCCCTCCCTTCCCCTGGCAGGCCCCACCTCCTGGTCGAACTCCTGGACGAACTCCTGGTCAAGGGGACAATTTGCATACTCTGCTTTTATTATATAGGATAGAATGAATTGAGCCTTCTAAATTGAAGCCAGAGGATGAATGATCTTGTTAAGAGGAGACAATGTATTTTATAATTTAAATATTCAGCTGCTATCAGCTTTTATTTTTACATGAAGGGATCATCAAGACTTTTTTTTTTTTTTTAACATCTCAAGCTATTGTCTTTACCGATCATAATCAGAGGCTCCCTTTTTCTGGTATTAGTTGTTTATATTTTTGCTAAGGAATGTAGGTAATTTCAATATAAGAAAACAGTAGAGAAAATTAGTAAAATGAACTTTATGCCCTCCGTCTACCTTATTCCCTAAAGAAACCTGTTGCCTTGCAAGTGGTTTGGGGGTTATTGTTGCAATCCTTTGCTTTTCAGTAAAATTGATAATCAAGAATTAACTATCCTCAGAGGACTGTTTATTTAACTTGGTTTCATTAGCTTATAATATTTTAACTAAAGTCTTTAGTCTATAATTTTGTAAGTGTTATGTGGATATTTATTTACATCTGTTTTTTCAGAGATATGAATCCGTAGAATTTGGATAGAGTAAATTTATATTTTAGTGAAATAATTTAAATAAAACAATTATTTTTGTATTTGGAATAGACTATACAGTTGTATTTTTTTCAAATAGTTATTGTGAAGTGCCTTGTAAGAACAGACTAATACAACATTTTATTTATTTTAATCCTCACCCAAGGATAGGCTTTCCATTGATTTTTAGAAAGAATGGAAGAGAGGGCGGGAGGGATAGAGAAACTGGGGCCAGGATTGAACCTGCAACCCAGATACTTGTCCCTGACCGGGAATCAAATCCAAGACCTTTGGTGTGTGGGCCGACAATCTAACCGCTTAACAATACCAGCCAGGGTAATTAATACATTTAAAGCATTCATATTGTATGTATCTAAAAATAAATCTCTGGCAATTTATATATATATATATATAATTTGTTAAAGCCATTTTTAATTGAAAGTAGTTTTCAAAATGTTATTTCAAAATTTTGATTATACTTTTTAATTGATTTATTTGGCCTAATTTCAAACAATGGATGTATACAAAGTTATGTAATAGATACTTGGAGATAGAAAGAAGTGTATATTTAACCTCTTAATATAATTTATAGACAGGTAAATCTGTAAATAACTATAATTTATTTCTTTAAATTGGGTGAAGTAGAATACATGAGCAGAAAAAAGTAAGGGATACAGTGTTGTAAACTCATATGTGGGTCAGATCACGGAGGGCCTTGAATGCTGATCTAAAGAACTAGACTTTTAAAATATGGGCACTGGAAGCATGGGTCTATGAAAATATTTTAACATGAAACTTATCTGATGCATAATATGCCTTAAATATTGTAATTTAAAAAAAAATTATGTATTGATTTTAACAAGAGAGAAAAAAACCATTAATTTATTATTCCACTTATTTATGCATTCATTGGTTGATTTTTGTATGTGCCCTGAGTGGGAATTGAACCCACAACCTTGGCATATTGGGACAACGCTCTAACCAACTTAGGTACCTGTCCATGGCATCTCTGAAAATATTACTGCAGTGTCTAATATTTATAGGGAAGAGACATAAAGCATAAATAGCAGATTGGCTGCTATAACTTCCAAGTAAGAAGTGATGAGGGAGCCGAAACCGGTTTGGTTCAGTGGATAGAGTGTTGGCCTGTGGACTGAGGGGTCCCAGGTTCGATTCCGGTCAAGGGCATGTACCTGGGTTGCGGGCACATTCCCAGTAGGAGATGTGCAGGAGGCAGCTGATCGATGTTTCTAGCTCTCTATCTCTCTCCCTTCCTCTCTGTAAAAAATCAATAAAATATATTTAAAAAAAAAAAAGAAGTGATGAGGTATTAATTTATGGAAGTAAGAGAAAGGCGGATGCCAAGATATTTTAAAGGTTATATTCACAGAACTTGTCCCATGATTGGATTGATAAAGAGGCACGGGGTGGAATAATGAAAAACTGTGCACTACTTTGAAAACGTGGAATACTGTTTTAAAAAAATACAGAAAAACGAGGAAGAGTGTCTGGGAGTGACATTTAGGTTCAGAAATGTGGAATTTTAGATAATGGTAGGAATCTCAGAAGAGTCAGACCAAATTACAGGAATTTGGAATTCATTTACACAAATACAATGCAGAAATATAAGGTTATCAGGGCAAAAGTTACAGTGTCAAGAGAAGATGACTAAGGATAAAATTTTAGGAAATAACTATGTGTAAGAATGAAAAAATTAAGAAATTAGTAGGTATTACCTTTTCCTTGTAGACTGAGTAATAAAAGGAGGCATCCAACCCACATCAATGATCTGAGCACAATTTGAAGATGAGAATTGGATTGGGTTTGGTGTAAAGAAATAGGCCTGATTGGAGGCTTCACAAAGAGTGGAGGAGAAGGGTCAGATGTGTGTTTTGGCGTCAGCCTATGAAATAAGCCTTCAGCCTTTAAGTTTTATCTTAAGATCGGTTTTAGTAACAGATTTAAAGGGAAAATATCTCATGACTCTAATCTCATATACTAATATTTCCTTGTTATTTAGGGATCAGACTTGCTATAACATAATTCCACTCTACAATTCAATGAAGAAGAAAGTTTTGTCTGACTCTGAGGTATTTAATATTTCATTATAATTGTTACACTGGTCTTATTCTGTATAAAAAACATACACACAGTAGTTTTAAATAAATGCCATTATGAAAACTATTTTTGTCTAATGCTATAGTTAACTTAATGGTTCAGAATTTTTTTGTTTTTTGTTATAAAGAATTTTTTTTAAAAAAAGATAGGGAAGAGACTTTAATGAGTCAGTAAAGTGCTCCAGCATATGCATTATAGATTTACTAAAGTGTAAAGGAGATAATTGGTATATAAACAACTGTAGATTACGGTTGACACTTGAACAACATGGGGTTTAAGGGCGCTGACTCCCCGAGCAGTCAAAAATCTGTATAACTTTTACCTCCCCCAAGACTTAGCTACTAATAACCTACTGTTGACCAGAAGCCTTACTGATAACATAGTTTATTAACACACATTTTATATGTTATATGCATTACATACTGTATTCTTACAATAAAGTAAACCAGAAAAAAGAAAATCATAAAAGAAAAAATACATTTATGTATTATATTGTATGTATTTAATAAAAAAAATTGTGTGTAAGTGGACCTTCCTAATTTAAACACATATTCAAGCGTTCATTGTAATAATGAAACCTAGAACATTTAATAAATTAGATAAATTCTTGCTTCAAAGGAAGAAGAGAAAGATGCTGATGTGCCAGGAACTTCTACTCGAAAAAGGAAGGTAATATATTTTTTGTTTTAACAGAAGAACTTTATGTGAATTAAAATGTACTCAGAGCATTTTTTTTTCTTTTTTCTTTTTTTATTTACTGTTAGTATTCCAAGTAAATTCCCATCACAAAATGCATGATTATCAGAACTAGGTAAATGATATTTTCTATTTTTTTGTGTTACTGGATATTACCTAATTATGTAAGACTGCATTAAAAATACAAGATTTATTTTTGTCATTTTGTTAATATTTTTTAACACTTTTATTTTAGGACTATCAGCCTAGAAGAAGATTACGAAATAGAGCTCAGTCTTATGATATTCAAGCATGGAAGAAACAATGTCAAGAATTGTTAAATCTCATATTTCAGTGTGAAGATTCTGAGCCTTTCCGCCAGCCGGTAGATCTCCTTGAATATCCAGTATGTATTTTTGAAAATGTTTTCTTTACCTGTCTGTTTCGCTCTATGTCTTGTTCATGAAAATTTGCTATTTAAATTATTTTTTATGGTTATAGTGTATTTCTTCATTATTTCATACATGTTCTCATTATCCATTTGGTTATAAAGAGCATCTAAGTTGGATATTGTGGTAAAATAGAAACAACTCTGAACTAATATTCCAAAGAATTGGGTTATGGTTACTAATTGTGCAATTTTCTCAACTAATTTTTTTTTAATTTCTACACACACACACACACACACACACACACACACAAATTCTATAAATTTATTACAACCTTATGGGGTTGTAGAGATGAAATGAGATTACATTAAAATAGTTTTAAACTGAAGCACTATATACAAATGTAAGTTGACATTATTATATATGTTTAGGTTAGGTCAACTCATGATCTTTTGGGATTCATGGTTAAAAGATTGAGTAATCATGATTTAAGTATTTAGTTTTGCATGTAGTCTTAGCAATCTAAATAAGCTTTAAGTGAACCTTAATTTCTTCATTCAGTTATTAAAGTTTGTACAGTTCAGATAACTTTTGTGGTTTGAAATTAAAATTAAAATGCAGTATTTTATAATATGAGACCATGAACTGGATGTGATATTATCTGACATATGTGTTTATGTGTATGTTCTAACTTAGTGATGAAAATAGAAATTTCATCATAAATATCATAAATGCCTTTTCTCATTTAAAATCAAGAAACATGGAATTTTAAGTGTAAAAGATAAATCTTTAATTCCAGCAGTGTGATAAACTGAGCTAGTTCAAGCCCTACCCTCCAAAAAACTCTGTAGAGGAACTGAGCTAATGCTTCAGTGCTCTGGTTTTCAGTTCTTTTTGTTTTGGGAACCTGTGGATTTCCCTTCGTTTCTTGCCAACCCAACTTTGTGTCTTAGAAAATAAGTTATAATTTACCCACTGCTTGCAGGAGTTTGTATTCTGGACTTTTCCCAGAAAAGAAGTGATAGATTTTAGAAGCACAAGTATTAACACTGAGCACGGAGACAGGTGAAGCCATATGAGCCATGATGAGGAAGGAAATTGGAACTGAGACTCCACTGTTGAAAGACTTTACCTTCAATGAAAATAATAGAATAATTATTCTTTCTAAAGAAGAATGTCTCTTTGGTGTCAGAGAAATATCCCTAAGCTTGCACTATGCACGGATTTGGAGTCTAGATTTACACACCCTATGGTGTAGATATTCATCAAGGGAAAAGAAACCAATTCCTACTAAAGCTGAACTAATGATAAAAAGAAATTTTAAACTATATAAGGGTGTGATCTGTTATGTATATGATAACAGAAACAATAAATGGAAATAATAGATTATTCTGAAACATGATTATACTTCATCAAATCAAAAACACTTTCATTGTAAGATGAATGGTATTTTATGTACCACTAAGACCAAGAAATAAAATTGCCAATTAAACTTTGACTTGTCATTTTGGTTTAAGAGATAAACGGAGGGATAAGAAGCATAAGGAAATAAAGACTAAAGACAATAAGAAAAATGTTAAAGCAATTATACAGAAAATACAGGAGACACCCAAAACTGGCCCAATCAATTCATTTTATTGAGGTTGAACTGAGGCTTAGATTAAGTAGCTTTCCAAATTATGTAGCAATTTATTGACACAGTGAGAACAGGAGGCCATTTCTCTTGTATCTAGTGCACTAGAGCTATATGTATTGTTCTTAGAGAATAGTTAATACATAGGAATGCAGTATCTCTTAAGTATTCAAAATAATGAGAATGCTATTTAGAACCTCTCAACCTGCTAAAAGTATTAGCAGACAGAAAATACCAGAAGAAAAAAATTTAATCTACTGTCTCTTGTTGAATTCCTTGATGGAGGTGTGAAAACTTATGGCTCTTTACGATTTCTTAATACTGTCACAAAGGAGAAGAGGAAACTTGGATAACCTGCTTTTTTATACTTCAGAATTAACTATAATTAACTATCAGCCTTATCAGTAGAATATTTAAGGCAATAATGCTCTTCATACTTAAGCTTTTGTATGAAAATAATTACTTTACATTTTGAGTTTATCCAAATCAAGATTTTAAAAATTAAACTTTTTTATGGAAAGTAGAATGCTAAATATTCTACTCCATTTACTTATTCAACAGAATTCTATTGAGTGGCTACCATATGCACTAAGGAAAATGAAATGCTCTACATAAATTTGACGTTTAACCAACATTTTATAAAACATGAAAAATTTTCTATATCATTTTCCCAAATTTTGCAGTTTATAAATCTAATATATTATAATATTTAATATCCAAGTAATTATAGATTTTTGTCAAATTGATTTGATGTCCTTAAGAATATAGAAAGGTTGGACACTGTCCAGATGTTGTTACCATGCATAAAGCAATTTTGTAACTATTCCCTCACTCCCATCTGAAGAGTCAGGCATTCAGTCTTTGGAATATTAAGTATGTTTTTTATTGATTTTAGAGAAAGAGGAAGTTGGGGGCGGGGGGGAGAGATACATCAATTGGTTGCCTCCCATATGCATTCTGATCAGGGGTCAAACCTGCAACTTGGGTTTGTGCCCTGACCGTGAATCGAACTGGTAACCTTTCTGTGAGAGGGACTATGCTCAACTAACTAGGTTACACCGCCCAGGGCTGGAATTTCTTTTTTCCCTTTTTTTTTTTTTTTTTAACGACAGCCTTCTGCTAGTAAGGTACTTAATTCCTGCAAATGGCCAAGTTATTTAGACCAAATTTGGTACATAAGGTAGACTTGTACACTGTTTTTTGCTAAAATCAAAATATTACTAAAAGGTAGTAAGACCAATTTAATGTGTGACTTTATAAAGTGGTTCTAAAGTTATTAATTGGTGAAACACTTCAAAATATTTTAGTCAGCTCATGCCAGGTGGCTCAGTTAATTGGAGCATCATTTTGTACACCAAAGGGTTGCGAGTTTAATTTCAGGTCAGGGCACATACTCAGATTGTGGGTTCAATCCCTGAGCACACATAAAAGAGGCAACCAATAGATGTTTCTCACATCAATATTTCTTTCTTCCCCCCTCCCCCCCTTTCTTTGTCTCTAAAATCAAAAATATATCCTTAGGTGAGGATTTTAAAAAATATAAAAAATACATTTTTTGGTCAAAAGCTATATAATTGGATTTATGAGAAGGCGTAGGCATACTTTCCCCCATTTTCCCCACTAAATAGAACTAGAAAATTGTGTATGTTTGGTATAAAAAAAATTTAAGAAAATTTCTGAAAGGTGAAGAGAAGATGGACGGACAGGGTAGGACCTGAGGAACAACACAGTAGTGAATTTCGTGGGGTTTTGTTTGTTTGTGTGTTTTGCCTTACATATTCACTACCTGGATACTGGAGAAATGCCAACATGCACTGACCAGAAAAGCCTACTGTCTCCAGCCAAGAAAGGGGCAGCCTAGCAACACAAAGTTTATAGACAGTAATTGCTCTATCCGCCAAATACCATAGAAAAATTGTGGCCTTACTCCTTTCCCACCTGCAAAGCCTTTGGAGAGCCATCTCCATGCTTCCCAAGTACCAGCCTAGACTTCCACCCCCCACCTGGCAGTAATGAGGTAACCCTGCCCTATGTCTTTGTATGATATAAGCAGAGGCCTAGTGGGGAGTCAAGACTTTGACCACTGATCAGTGATAACAAGGCGACCCTCATAGTGTCAGTAGAGGCTATGCAATAACAAAGGTACTCCCACCTTAGCTGGTATCATGGAAATCTAGCAAGGAACATGAATCCTAGCCCTTTCAATAGTTTCAAAGAGGTAGTTCTCAATCCTCAAGTGTCCATGAAGGCCGAATAAGACCTGGACTTACACTCCCACTTGGCAGTAACAAGGCAGTTCTCTCTCTTAGCCCAAAGAGAGGTCAGAGTAAAGCACAAGATTTAAAAAAGATCTAACCTTAGACTCAAAATGTCCAGGTTTTAATCAAAAATCTCTAGTCATACCAAGAAAGTTTCAAAAGGATTTAGAAGAATCAAATGGAAATAGAACTAAAAAATAATAACTGAAAAACTCGCTGAAGAGAGCAAAGGAAAGAATCAGTGAGCATAAAGGTAAAAAATATGGGTAGGGAAGGTTTCTGTGCATCGCTTGAACTGGTAAATGTTGACATCATTATATTTTGATGATCACGTATATAAGATACCTGAACAACTACTTACTAAACTATATAGAGATTTATAGTCGTGAACATTATAGACAAAACAAATGGAATTGTTCAAGTGACCTATAAGATTGGAAAAAATAAACAGAACAAACCAAACAATTAAATGAGACATAATTGAAATCATATAGTGTGTCTTTCAACTACATTGTAACCAAAATAGAAATCAGTAACAAAAAAGTAACAAGAAAATCTCTAAACACATGGTAACTAAACAGCATACTTCTAAATAATCCATGATTTAAAGAAGACTTATTTGGCCCTTAACTGGTTAGGCTCAGTGGATAGAGCATTGGCCTGTGGACTTGAGGGTCCCAGGTTCGATCCCGGTCACAGGCACCAAAATACAAAAATAAAAAAATACAATAAATAAAGAAGACTTATTTGGAAATAAGTTTAAAAAAACATTGAACTTAATGAAAATGAATACAAATCAAAATCTGTGGAATACAACTAAAGCAAGTCAGGGAAATTGATAGCACTAAATAGTTAATCAGAAGAGGAAAAGTCTCAAATCAATAATATAAGCTCTCTCTTTAAGAACCTAGAAAAAGAAGAGTAAAATTAACCAAAAGTGAGCAAAAGAAAGGAAATATTAAGAGCAGAAATCCATGAAACTGAAAACAAAAACAACAGAGAAAATCCATAAAACCAAAAGCTGGTACTTAATTGGCAAAGCTCTATTAAGATTTACAGAGTTAAAAAGAGAGAAGACATATTGCTTCTATTAGGAATGCAATAGGGGATATCACTGCAGACCCTGCCAATATAAAAAGGATAATAAAGGAACACTACAAACAAGTCCACATATAAATTTGACATCCTAGATGGAATGGGCCAATTTTTAAGTTCAAAGTGCCTTATTCACCCTATATGAATAGATTATTTGAATAGCCCTATAACTAATAAGGAAATTTAATTTGCAGTTAAAAGCTTTCAGAAAAGAAATCGCAAATCTAGATATCTTCACTGGAGAATTCTACCAGATGTTTAAAGATTTCACACAAATTCTACACAGTCTTTTCCACAAGTAGAGAAGAGAACACTTCGCTCAATCTATAAAGCCAGTATTATCCTGATATCAAACTAGACAAAATCAGTACAAAAGAAAAATTTAAAATTCTTAATAAGATCAACAAATTAGAATTCAGCAATATATAAAAATGATTTTATGCCATGACCAAGTGGATGGTTTTTTTTTCAGGGATGTAAAACTGGTTCAGTATTCAAAAATTAACCATATTCATTAATGTAGAAAAAGCATTTAACAGAATGAAATACCTGTCTGTTCTGAAATGTACATGTTGGATATGATATGGTATAGTAAAGTCATCATGGCCACTGGAGAACAAGAACGAAGCTTTTGAGAGGAAGGTTATTATACTTGCAGGTTCTACGGAGAGGGGTCACCCAAAGCTACTTGGCACCATAGTGAATCATCACATTTTGATTGGGTGACAGAAGATAGGAGCAAGGGAAAAGTTTAGGCCAGACCCTTTCTTGGGATTTCAATGAGAGAGACAAGGCAGGGCAAGGGTAAACAATTTAGAATGGATTAACATGTTCCCAGTGCAGCCCTTAGCTAACGTTAAGAGGAAGGTCAGTGTCTTCTCAGATTTGTAAGGCCCCCAAAATGCCAGAGCATCAAGAATACAGAAAATAAGAAAAAATAGTATAATTGGCCCTGTGACAAATGGATGCTAAATAGACAAATACATAACCTAAGAAAACTAGGAATAGCGGGGAACTTGAATAACTTGGTAAGTAACCTATAGCTAACATTATGCTTAATTGTGAAAAACTGAATGTTTCCCTCCCTGATATTGGAAATAAGGCAAGAATGTCCATTTTCACTGCTATTCAATATAGTACTACAAATTCTAGGCAGTGGAACACAGCAAGAAAGGAAATAGAAGGTATGCAGATTATTAAGGAAGAAATAAATCTTCCAGTTTTTAAATGGCAATCCTGTTTGCTTCATGGTAAAACATATTTGATCATAATTTAAACTTGATGGTTCAAAGTCAAGTTATATTTCAAAAAATATGGTTGCATATGCCCAGGCTATGGAAAAGGTATAGTACTCTTTATCCCTATTAGGAGATACTGTATTTAGATACCCTTCTGCTATTCTGTTGCTTCTTTTCTGCTTTCACTTGTTTTTATTACTTTTTTATACATAGTTGGCTAGATGGAGACTGGATGATTCCCCTTCTCTGTAATATGAATTACATAGGCTTTGTGACAACTATTTAAAATTATGATTATGTTTCAGTGAGTCAGCAGCCTTTAGAGTTTATAGGTAGCATAAAGTTTTGGGTTTTTTTTTACATCGAACTTATATTTGTAGTTGTAGAGCTGAAGTTTTTTTTCAATACTTTTTTAATCCCCTTCTAACACAATTCCATTTACCTCTTCCCCAAGGAGCTTTGCGGGCGAGGGGCAGCTGTGGGAAACAGAATTTAACAGGTTCTTGAATGAGAAAAATCTTGTGTTGACTGCAATATAAGGTAGAGAGCATGAAAAAAATTATTAGGAAAACGGGATCCTTGGTGAGGAAAACAAGGAACGATTATTAATAGTTCTAGGACTTTTGTTCATCACAGAAATTGTATGTGAATCCCTGTGCTGAGATGTAATGCCTTGTGGTAGTAATGATGATAATACCACCTATTTTTCCTCTCTTAGGACTACAGAGACATCATTGACACTCCAATGGATTTTGCTACTGTTAGAGAAACTTTAGAGGCTGGGAATTATGAGTCACCAATGGAGTTATGTAAAGATGTCAGACTTATTTTTAGTAATTCTAAAGCATATACACCAAGCAAAAGATCAAGGGTATATAATTAAATTGTTTTCTTTTATTTGTGTTTAAATTAAATGAAATTATTAGAAAAAGTTTTGTCATTTTTATTTAAAATTTAGAGCAAAGTTGATTGACTTTCTATGTTCTTAATAGTATCCTACTGGAAAAAAAGAATTGACTTCTTTATACATTGTTCCTTCTATGAAATAACACTGGTGTCACTAATGTTTAAGGATGCCTACTTTTCGTGAAGTAGTGTAGTTAAATAGATATCACATATGTATTGTCCTGGTATATATTAGGGCTATGTGGGCTTTTGCACCTATTTTCTGCATTAGAAGAAAGGACCATTTTTGTGAATGATTCATAAAAATGAGTAAAACTTTAATTTATCCTTGTTTGGCCAGATAAGACATCACAAAGGGGTGATATGTGTACATGAATCGAGAAAGAATAGATAGCTAGTAGCTAGCAGTGGAAAATAGATTAAAACTCTCAGGGATAGTGTCAGTATGACCAGGTTTACAGAAAATTTTGTCTGTATAAGCCATCTGAATTCATAGTAGGGCTTTTCTTTAAGAATCTCAAAGCTTGGGAGATTCGTAATCTAAATACAAAAATAATTGTAAAAATGCTCCAGTTTTACTTTTCAACAAAAGAGATTGGGAAAAGGCAAAGTTTAAATTCTAAAAACGTTTGGCTAGAAAAAAATGTTTAAATTATATGTCAATATTTTCTTTTGAGAAATGTTGGAATAGTTTCTTTTTCTTATCATAGATTTACAGCATGAGTTTGCGCCTGTCTGCTTTCTTTGAAGAACATATCAGTTCAGTTTTATCAGATTATAAATCTGCTCTTCGTTTTCATAAAAGAAATACAATAACCAAAAGGAGGAAGAAAAGAAACAGAAGCAGCTCTGTTTCCAGTAGTGTTGCATCAAGGTATTTAATTTCTTTTCAGCAGCATCAGCTGATCTATAACTTTGTCATCTAAATGATAGAACTCAGTGTTTTTTAATATTTCCTTTACTATTCCCTATATTACAGAATGATATATTTGACATGCAAGTTCCTATGATGTGGAGGATTTTTAATCTTTTAACTAAAGCTATACTAGTGTAAGTGCTTAAATTCAAACTGCTAAATCTATACAGTAAAAGAGCATTTTTAGGTTAGTTATGGCATCATGCTTTCTGTCATATATAACTATAGCGTTTACAGTGATCCTTCACTAAATATTCCATATGAAATCCATATTTTAACATTTTTCATAATAGTGCAAATATTGGATCCAATAGTATTTATAAAACTGTGTTTTATACCACATAGAGCTATAAGAATAACTAATGATACTATTTTATTTACAGCCCTGAAAGGAAAAAAAGAGTCATAAAACCCCAACTAAAGTCAGATATCTCTACCTCTCCATTCTCTACAACTACACGATTAATACCACCAAGGCATAATGCTGCGCAAATAAATGGTAAAACAGAATCCAGTTCTGTAGTTCGAACCAGAAGCAACAGAGTGGTTGTAGATCCAGTTTCCACTGAGCAACCTTCTACTTCTTCAGCAGCGAAGACTTTTATTTCGAAAGCTAATACATCTGCAATGTCAGGGAAAACAAGTAAGAATCAGTTACAGTTTCTAAATTGAAATAATATACCAAGATTTTTTTAATTTAAGCTTTTACTTTGCCAAAGGAAATATATTGGATTTTAGTAAATTCTAGCAGACAATGTTGGTTTTTCATTATCGTTTTTCTTCTTTTTGAAAAAATTTATTTTTAATAAAAATAAAATTGAGGTTAAGGAGTGTCAGTATAGAATAATGCTTAAAAATGGCAACTCTGATCCAAAATGCCTGAATTTCAATCCTACTTTCTAGACCAGCCGTGGGCAAACTACGGCCTGCGGGCCGGATCCGGCCCGTTTGAAATGAATAAAACTAAAAAAAAAAAAAAGACCGTACCTTTTTATGTAATGATGTTTACTTTGAATTTATATTAGTTCCCACAAACACTCCATCCATGCTTTTGTTCCGGCCCTCCGCTCCAGTTTAAGAACCCATTGTGGCCCTCGAGTCAAAAAGTTTGCCCACCCCTGTTCTAGACTCCCTAGCAATTTTCCAAGACTTGCCTTCATAATCTTGAAGTGAGTGGATAGCTTATAAGAAGTTCTAAAATTAAGAGTTTGTTTATGCCTTTTTCCTATTTTGAAAATAGATTTCCTAAAGAAGCTTTAAGTCCCCCATGTTTTGTCCTCTTGGCTAATTTAGGTAATTCAGGTTATATGTAATCCCAACCTTCTTGCTTGTTTTTAGGTTAAATAACTCTTAGTTTTTAATGTTTCATATGTGTGTGTGTTTTAGTTCTAGAGAATTCTGTGAAACATTCCAAAACTTTGAATACTTTATCAAGTCCTGGTCAATCCAGTTTTAGTCATGGCACTAAGAATAATTCTGCAAAAGAAAACTTGGAAAAAGAAAAGCCAGTCAAACGTAAAATGAAATCATCTGTACTCTCAAAGACATCCACTTTTTCAAAGTCATCAGCTCTCATCGAGCAAGGTAAGGTGCTTTTGTATCTTTCAAGGTACAGTAGATCTTTCTTAAAAATGATACTTTTGTTGGAGTTAGCATTCTATCAGTTTTTTTAGGTTGCTCATTTAAGTCACATTCTGTATTAGTTGGTAAATTTAGTGAGACCTGTTTTGATTTGCAGCCTTGTGCCAAAGCAAACTGCATTATTACATTTTAAAGGCCAAGAAAATTTTTCTATATGGAAATGAAAACAAATTGTGGACCTGCCATTGTGGCTCAATTGGTTGGAGCATTATCCCCTACACCAAAAAGTTGCAGGTTTGATTCCTGGGCAGAGCACATACCTAGGTTGTGGATTCCATCCCTGTTTGGGACACCTATGAGAGGCAACCAATCAATGTTTCTCTCATACTTTAATCTCTCTCTCTCTCCTCTCTCTCTCTCTCTCTCCTCTCTCTCTCTCTCTCTCTCTCTCTCTCTCTCTCTCTCTCTCTCTCTATATATATATATATATATATATATCTGTATCTCTCTCTCTCTCTCTAATTATATTTAATTAGCCCTTATAGTAGTCTTCACCTTTTTTTAAAAAATATATATTTTATTGATTTTTTTACAGAGAGGAAGGGAGAGGAATAGAGAGTTAGAAACATCAATGAGAGAGAAACATCGATCAGCTGCCTCCTGCACACTCCCCACTGGGTATGTGCCCGCAACCAAGGTACATGCCCTTGACTGGAATCGAACCTGGGACCCTTGAGTCCGCAGGCCAACATTCTATCCACTGAGCCAAACCGGTCAGGGCACAGTCTTCACTTTTTAAGAAAATTCCGTAGTTACTACATCACAAAATTCAATACACCAATCTTCACAAAATAATAATTCATCAAGGCTGTCTACAATGAGGCCATCTATTTTAGTATACAACTTTTGTCTTTCACAGCTATTCTTCCAAGTTCTTTCATCTGCAGATTTTAGTTTTAAAGGCATTATGTTTGAAAGAGAAAGTAAATGATATAAATCCACCCTATGACATGTTAAAACTATATGGCTTATTGGCAGCAGACACTTCAACAATAAGCATTTTGTATCATGACTTCCAATTGTATCTAAACCATTTCATCTTCAATGTTCTCCCCAGAAACCTCTCAAATTTTAATTTTTTATTGAAATGCTCTCATTTTGATTAATGGTACTGGGATCTATCCACTAACATAAGTTTAAAATCAGGGAGTCATCCTAGCCTTGTCTTCAGCATCCAGAACTAGACAGTTGTTTCTGCCTCTTTAAAATCTCTAAAGCCTATTTCCCCCTCACCTTTCTCATTTCCATGGCCTTAATTCAGATTTACAGAATTTCTCACCTGGACTGTTGTCTTAATTTTCTAACTGATCTCTCTGCCTCAGTTCTTAACTCTTCCTTACCCAGTCCATCTTCCACATTGCAACCAAAGTGACTTTTCTGATCATTTCTCTCTAGCACAGGTGCACAAACACACTTAAATCCTTACTTTCCAATCACATATGAAATCAGATTTTAATGTTTTTTTGCATATTATATAAGACTAGAGGCCCATTGCATGAAATTCGTGCACGTGTGTGTGTGTGTGTGTGTGTGTGTGTGTGTGTGTCCCTCAGCCCAGCCTGCACCCTCTCCAATCTGGGATCCCTCAAGGGATGTCCAATTGCCCGTTTAATCAGGCAGTTGGACATTCCTCTCACATCCAGGACTGCTGGCTCCCAACTGCTTGCCTCCCTGCCTGCCAGATTGCCCCTAACTGCTTCTGCCTGCCAGCCTGATCACCCCCTAACCACTCCCCTGCCAGCCTGATCTACCTCTAACTGCTCCCCTGCTGGCCTGGTCACCCCCAAATGCCCTCCCCTGCAGGCCTGGTCCCTCCCACCTGCCCTCCCCTGCAAGTCTGGTCCCTCCCCTGCAGGTCTGGTTCCTCCCAACTGCCCTCCCCTGCAGGCCATCTTGTGTCCACATGGGGGCGGCCATCTTGTGTGTTAGGGTGATGGTCAGTTTGCATATTACCTCTTTACTAGATAGGATTCTTCATTACTTGGCTGTTGCCTAACATTCAGCTTTCTTATTTGCTTTCCCCCTTTTATTTCCCAGCTATTTCCTAACCTACTTGGAAGTCCCTGAATATTGTTGTCCTTTTCTTCCTGTGGAGTGTCTTTTTTCCTTCTAGTTCAATGGTTTCCTACTACTTTTTTAAGTCTTACTCTAAAGTGCAATATTCTCCAGGAAGCCTTCTCCTGGGTTCTTTAGGCAAAATCAAGTACTTCTTTGTACTTGATACCCCGTTCATTGACTTCAGTGGCCCTTAAACTGTTGATAGAATTATTCATGTTTACATGTGTCTATCTCCATTTGACTCTGAATTCTTGTGTTTTATTATTCATTTTTAAATCACCTCAACTTAATATATAGTGGACAGTAAGTCTTTGAATAAAATAAGCAAATGACTTTGTATACGAATGTTTTACCATTTCTTTCTTTCTGAACTGAATTAAAAGTTTTAAATAGTATATTGGCCTTGCTTCTGTCACTTCTGAATCCCAGTGAAATAAAATGTATATAGTGAATTTGTACTAGTATTACAATAGGGGAGATTCATTAGCCAATTTGATTTATAATTTTTGAGTATTACAAATACATAAGAGTACCAGTATAATATAGAAATACAATTAGCTTTAAATAACTCATTAATGATGACCTATTGCATAAATATTGACACCTGAATTAACTACTAGAATTAAGAACAGTGCTATCTAGTAAAAATATAAGCCAAATATGTAATTTAAAATTTTCTAGTAGCTACCTCAAGTAACAGCAAATAGGTGAAATTATCCATTTAAATAAAATTTTATTTAGTCTATTATATCCAAAATATTATTATTTCAACATATAATCAGTATTTCAAATGTATCCTGCTTTCATTTTCAAATTTAAATTTAATTAAAAATTCAGTTCCTCGTTGTCATAGGTACATTTCAGGTGCTCAGTAGCCACATGGTTAATAACTACTAGCACAGATCCAGATCAGTGCTTTTTCGCTTTCTTTTTTTGAGCTCTTGAACTCGTTTTTAAGAGAGCTGCGTTAGTTCTTAACCTTTTATTAGGTTTATATATTGCCTTGTGAAGCTGATGAAACCTGAAGTCCTTCCCCCAGAATTTGCACATAGGCATATTCACTCAAAATTTGGACCATTTCAAGGAGTTAGGGAGTTCCTGAGTCCAGTCAGTAGAACTTTTGTAGGGGGTATGCGGACTGGATATTTAGAACCCTTGTCAGTAGTTTTAATGGAAAACAAATGGAAGAGATAGACAGAATTCTCAGGCAGTTTAAGTGTAATTATTTGTTAGTAAATGCTCAACTGCTTTATGTGTACACACATATCTTCCCCCATCATTATAGAAAACCACCAATCTAAAGAAGATCATTTGTACTTTGGGGGTCAGGAAATGAAGGCTTTGTATCCTCCCTTTGCTATTGGCTCTGACCTTTTGTGAGTCTCTTGATTTTTTTTTTTTTTTAAATATTTAGGAAATAAAACTCCAACCCATGACCAAAAAATACTATTACAAAAAGCATTCTCTTTAAAAGCAGTTTCCATCCTTTTATGGATTTCCTTTAAAATATTTTATTGCAGATCATGTACCACATCCAAAAAAAAAACCCAAAAAAACCCCAAAAAACAAACTCCAGAATTTTGGAAGAAAAAAGTTAGTGGTAGTGCATGTATGTCATCTTTTTGTTTTCTTCATCTAAAAGGGTATAGACTTTTTTTTTTTTTTTTTTTTTTTTTTTACCACAGAAGAACAGTGCATCATGATCTCCAGATCCTACATATTTAGAATTTGATGTCCTAAATTTTCTTTTATATTTTAATAAAGCATGATGACCTTTATAGTAGAGATTGTTACATTGGTATTTTAATCATGATACTGGTGGCACACATACCAGGCATACGTTGGAGATATTGCAGGTTCAGTTCCAAACTACCTCAATAAAGCTAATATAACAATAGAGCAAATAACACAAATTTTTTGGTTTCCTAGTGCATATAAGTTATGTTTACACTCTGCTGTACTCTGTTAAGTGTACAATAGCTAAAGAAAATGTACATACCTTATTTTTAAAATACTTTATTGATTTAAAAATGCTAACGATCATCTGAGCATATTGGAAAAATGATGCTGATAGACTTGGTTGCAGAGTTGCCACAGACCTTCAATTTGTTTGTTTTTTAAAAAGCAATATCTGTGAAGCACAATGAAGCGAAGTACAATAAAATAAGGTGTGCCTGTAAATAATATCAGTAAACTGTTAGCCTTTTGTTGTTTTTTCTTATGTTAGTAAAAAAAGTAATCAGGATTATGTCATTACATGTAAATATAGTGATGGACTTATTTATGAGTTTGAGGGTCAAATAAAAAAGCAATTCCATATATTAAATGTGGTGATGTTCCTTTTTTTTACAGATCGTAAGAACAATGCTCTTGTACCAGGAAGCATTCAAGTAAATGGCCATGGAGGGCAGCCATCTAAGCTTGTGAAGAGGGGACCTGGAAGGAAACCTAAGGTAGAAATTAATACCAATAGTGGTGAACTTATACACAAGAAAAGAGGTAGAAAGCCCAAAAAGCTACAATATGCAAAGCCAGAAAATGCTGAGCAAAATAATATACACCCTATCAGAGATGAAGTAGTTCCTTCTTCAACATGCAATTGTCTTCCTGAAACTAATACTGTAAAGGAGGATTTGTTACAGAAAAAGAGTCGTGGAGGCAGAAAACCCAAAAGGAAGATAACACAAAAACTAGACTCAGGTCTCATAGTTCCTACAAGTGTTAAAATGCTAAGGAGAAGTAACCGGAAAAAGACAGATGATCCTGTGGATAAGGAAGAAGAGTTTGGGGAACTTAAAGGCTCTGAACCCCACATGAGAACTAGAAACCAAGGTCGAAGGACAGCTTTCTATAATGAGGATGACTCTGAAGAGGAGCAAAGGCAGCTGTTGTTTGAAGACACCTCTTTGACTTTTGGAACTTCTAGCAGAGGACGAGTCCGAAAGTTGACTGAAAAAGCAAAAGCTAATTTAATTGGTTGGTAACTTGTACCAAACTATCTATTTTACTTCAAATCATAAAGCAGGTACAATTAAGGAATACGTAGAACTAAGGCTTCTGTTTCCTTGCTGCTGTGGTGGTTTAGGGAATATTATGATTTGATTTGCAAAAAAAAGGTAAACTTATAAGATACTTCACTTCTTTAAATGAATATATATATAAATATATACATATATATTTTAAATGTTTGCTATTTATTACCCTTAGGTAGTTACGCATTTCAACATTCATTTCATTCACTATTCGAAAAAAACACCACCACAAAATTGAGTACCTATAATAAATTCCCTGTTTATTTCTGGAAAAGACAGTTCTACATTTTTAAGGAGCATAATATTCCTAGTGATAGAGCATTTCATGTTAAAATGAATTATTTTTTACCAAGCCAGGTACATTTCTATTGATACAGAAGTCATGCCCCTTAGGAAGACATACGTTACCAGAGCAGCAGTAAATTAACTAATGTGTTTCTTCTAAAGATAAATATAAAATTCCCACAATTTGATACCCTACAGAGTTTAATTTTAATTGTACAATGTTCATCTACAAAGATTCTAGAGGATGCTTTTGCTGTATTCCATTTCTGCCAAACATAAGTGAAAATGTACTGATGGAAAGGAAACATATCCACATTGGAAAACATTTGACTGTCTAATTTTTCAGACCTTGATTCTTATATCAATCACTTGATCTCTGTTTATTGTGCCAAAGAGTGAGAATCAGTGCAGTGGAAAGCCTGTTTTTGACTGTCAGAACAGCATATACTTTTCAGTATTGGAAAGGCTGTATATTATTCTAAAGAGCGCGTTATTAAAGAGTTATGCTGAGATGCATCTTTTTTTGGTACTAATAGTAGAAAGTAATGCACTGGTGGGTCCTTTGACAGAGATGTTTTAGAGAAAATGTTTAAGTGGTTAAAGGATTCAAGGAAAATACAGGAAAAATGTATGGGATTTGATGTTTACTTATTGATCTGGATTAATGTCATTTCTAAACTTTAGACATAGCTAATAGGCTAAAATACTTACAAAGAAATGTGTCTGTGTGTGTATGTGTATATATTGATAAATGGGTATAATTAAATATATATACAAACACATACTTATATGCTATTTCCCAGACATAAATTCTTTTCTTCAGGATTTTTTAGATAGTGGTAGAATAAAAATAATTTTTAAATGTCATACTTTAGAGTTTAATTTTAAGGGGAAGATTGGTTATTTTCATTCAATTATTAAAAGTTAAAATAGGCCAAATCACTTTTTATGCAATCATGTTTTATACAGTGGTATCATTGCACATTGTGTTTTTTCTGCACTTTTTACGGTATCCTTATCACGCTGGTATGTCAATATACACCCTAAAGAAAAAATTCCATTTAATGATTGTGCCTTGTATTCTATTCTTTTTTTGCATCATTAGTAAAATTAAGTTGTCTATTGTAAATGATAATTATATGACTTAGGAGAATGTATTGCTATATGTACTGCTATGGAAAAGGAAAGCAGTTATTTATTTGTTTATGGTACAGTTACTTATTTTATACCTTAAAAACCAACATAAATACCATTTCTATTGTTTAAAAATTATTGTCCATTTTTTAAGAAGTTGAAAGAATGTAGTATTTTCTGAGGACTGGTATGGTACAAAAATGTAACCAAAATTTTCAGATACTACATTTTTTTATTTAAGTGAGGATGGGAAAATATGTATCAGCATGACCCTGATGTAGAAAAATAAAGTTTTTAATTGAACCTCAACAAAATACATTACATAATTATTTCTTTACTTATTTCTGGTAGGGATAAATGTTAGCTATCATTTAATTGTCTTGAAGAAGAATGGAAAGCAATGCATTTGGGCTTTTTAAATCATTTATAACTAAATTTGTACAGAAATCCTGTGAAATTAAGTAAACCATTTTCCAGATCTTAACTGGGTTGCTGTGATTTTGCAGTTGAAAAATTTCAAATTTTTCAGGTTTTTTGTATATTTATTTTTTTCTAACATATATTTACTATATAATTAAAATTCAGTAGCTAAACTCTTCATAATTCAGAAATGGATGGCTTGGTTGTATAGTAAAATGAGTATTTCAGTTACACAATAATAGTTTATATGTTTGAAATTTGCCATTAAAGTAATTTGTTGCTTTTGAAGGCAATCTATTTGATACATGTTATTTCCTGATGTTATCTGCATTGTGTTAGAAAAAATAATAATAGACTATAAATCCATTTTTGTAAAAAATATGTGTACAGTTTTAAAGTGTGTACAGATAAATAAAGGAAGCACGTACACAGTCTTAGAGTGGAATATGCTCTAGTGCGGTGTATGGATTAGTTCTAATTCTTGAGCAAAGAAATGAGTATTTACCATTTTACCTGCAGCAAGTAACTGTGTTACTCCTGTTCTAAAGACACTGTATATTTATGACCCTTATTTGGACATTATTAGACACTGGTTTCTTAGTAAAGCAAAAATTACTTGGATGAGATTATTTGTAATTAAAACACTTAAAAATGTATTAGTAATACCAGATATATTTAGATTTTATATCTTTATAATTTAGCTTCTATACATTGCAGAAGTTGAACTGAGAAATTTAGGTCATCACCATATTTTTGTTTTGTTTGACCACTTGGAAAATACCTTCTTTGAGACAGTGAGTCCTTGTTATGTATTGTTTATAGGCAAAAGGAAATGTTGGCAGTTGTCTTAGGTGAGCAATAAAAAAACTCAAGTTTACTGAAAATTTCAGAAATACTATATAACCTGTTACATGAATGGGAATTGTAAATCAATTTGTGTATTTTTAAGTACCTAGCCCTAATATTCTCCCTTCACCCCAACATTCTCAAATTCCAATCAAAGCTTAAACAGTTGTAAAATATACAAATGAGCATTTTAAACATTCAGTCTAATTACAGTCTCACAACTGGGCAACTGATAAATACTTTATTAAAATTTATATATTTTTAAAATTTTATATTTTGCTATTTGCTATTACGGCATTGGACTGTTTTCTCAATACATTTCTATACTCAAGATTTGTTGCTCTTGTTTCCATTCTTTTTATTATTGCACAGCTTCACAGTTTGAAGACATCACAAAACTCATCCCCCTAAATTTAATTAGAAAACTATACAGAATATTTGTGAGCTTGATTGGGTTACATCTGAGACATGAATTTGGCTAATTTGGTATCACGGAAATGGATTACATAAGATACACTGATCAAAACAATCCTCATGTGGCACGTATGTGTTAACACCTGGGATTGCCCCTTACCTGCAGTGCAGTACATTACAATTTGACATTTTAACAGATGTGTTCAAATAACAATTTTTTGTGATATTAGCAACATTTACATGTTTTAAAATATGATTTATAATATAAATTAGTTCATCCAATTAATAGTGTTTAATTCTAGCATTCCATTTTATACATACCAACATATCTCTCAGATGTCAACTATAAGCAATTTTATTTTCAGTGTTCCAATGAATGAAACCTAAATGGATGTTTTTCTTTACTAAAACTTACTTTTGAGTAGGCTTGAAAGGACCAAGACACTTGAGTATTTAAAGGGCTGTAAGTGTTCTTAGATGCAGGAAATACATGATATTAAAAGTTATAATGGGGGAAGTACTTTTATGTTCTGTGAATTACCCCATACTTAGAAAGTAGTTTTTACATAATAGTTTGAGAAGTGGTTTAGTTATATTTAGTTGAGAATTTACTTTGCTGTTAAAATTGGAAAAAAAAATACCTTTTCCTCTCTTTTCTCCTTAAACTTCTCCTCAGTTCCCCAAATCTCCAAGTGATTTGAACCAAATATTACTTTACTAAGAAACTATTTTTGTTCTTAATTATGCTGAGCTAGTCACTTCAAATGAAGTCATTTTGTACCAACTATAGTACCCAAGACAAGGTCAAATTAAGTCAGAAACCTGTAAGTACCACTTTGGAGGTTCCACAGATAAACTTTGTACATGCTGCAGTAAAATGATTAGAAAATATCACAAGTTATAAATACATACTTACTTTTAGTTTTGATAGCTCTGTGTTGAAATATTTTTTAATGCAGATAAAATCATCAGGAAATTAATCTTATATGGCACAAACCAAATACATATAGTGGGTGGCTATGAGTTACTTCATTTACGGAACTAAAAAAATAGGTTTGAGATGATATATAGTACACATATATGATTCAGATGTACACGTATGCTCGTTACTTTTAAGATTGTGCGTGTTGATTCATCACGATAAATATAAATTGAGACAAAATACAAAGTTACATTTTTGGACCATATTAAAACTGTAAGACATGGGGTCTTATTAAAGATTTTCTAGAAAACTGTTAAATGCTGTCACACGATATTTAGACTTGTAGAATGTAGTTCAGTTTTTAAAAAGTAACTGACCTAGAGGGTTAAAGTTGAAACTGACACATTTTCAAATTAAAATTATGCTTATTTTGTACAGAAAACAATGTTAAACACAAGCAAATCTGTTTATGTAATAAGTAACAGAATTTAAAGACAAATTAATTATTTACCTTTATTGAGGTTTGGGTTTTTTTCCTTCTTGCAACCTGGAGTATCATGTTATAAATGGCAGTCTCACACCAGAATAGCAGTACCCTTTCTTTTTGTACATATTGATTGGACCTTTCTTTATTGTTATGTGGACACTTTCTATGTTAGTTTTGATGCATAATTCTTTGAATCCTTTTATACTAGAATGTATGTGTAACAATTCCTGTCCCTGCAATGTAGTAACTATAAACTTATTTTTAAATAAATAGAAAACTTGTTTTTCTAAACTATTTTGTAGAGCCTCATGATTTCTTTATTATTCTTTTTTGTTTATTTGTTAACACATGAAGTACTCAGTACATAATTTCAACAGGCACTATACCAAAGAAGCTTTTATATAAATGGTGATACATTAAATTTTTCAATGCCCTGAGTATCAAAAAGTTAAAATTACTAGCCAATCAAAGGATTGTGAGTACTGCAGTGTAATTTAATTCTAAAATAACAAGGTTAAAGATAAATCATTTGCCTTTTAGTGTGTACACTTAATGAAATAATCTTATTGACCTGTTATTGGGTGATAACTTCATATTCATATATTTTTGTAAGAAATATTTAAAAGGAACAGTTTGCATAAGTATTTTCTTAAAAGTATGAAGTGAAATTTAAGGGAAAAAATTAAATAGAGGAATGATGGAACGTTTTTCTTATTAAGCAACTATACAAAATGAGATTTATAAAGCGATTGCTGTTTTCCTAGGAATTTGTTTAGATTGGCATACATATTTCTTGGCTTCCTGAGAATCCCAATTTTAATATAAGGAATATATAAAGGTATAATAAGTGACAATCAGATTAAGCACATGAGGAGATGGTTTGTACTTTTTGTGCTACTGGTCATTTCTGCAAGGTATATTGCTACTACCAAAAAAAAAGTAATTAGCATGTAACTAAATAAAATCCTAAATTTATATCAACCAAAGGACTTACATGCAAGCATATAGGCCTAACCAATGGACACAGACAACAGGGGGGTGAGGGCATGCATGGGGGGGGGGGGATGGGAGATAATGTGGGGATAAGGACATATATGTAATAACTTAATCAATAAATAAATTTTACAGTTAAAAAAAATCCCAAATTTTGTCAGTAGTATTTAGAAACCTTATTTAAATAGTATTTCCTTTTATAAAGGAGCTTAGAATATAGTGGTTTCGTTTCAAATATCCTAATTAGAATTTTTTTTTAAAGAAAACAACAATTAGAATTTACTGCTTTTTGGGAAGATTTTTTAAAAAATATATATTTTTATTGATTTTCAGAGAGGGAGATATAGAAACATCAATGATAGAGAATCATTGATTGGCTGCCTACTGCATGCCCCCTACTGGGGATCAAGCCCACAACTCGGGCATGTGCCCTGACTGGGAATCAAACCCTGACCTCCTGGTTCATAGGTTGATGCTCAAACACACAGGCTGGATTGGAAAGATTTTTTAAAAGGAGGTTCAGAAGAAAGGAATTTTGTTAGGATCGAGTTCAGGATAGGTTTATTCTAGCAGGCTTTGTGGCACAGGTCCACTAAGTAATTCATTGTGAGATTCCAGTATATGCCTTGTGTCAGAAATTAAATTGCCATCAACTGTCTACAAAATGTGATACACCCTTAGTACACAGGGTATCATACGTAAACCAGTCCAGACTGAAGAATTTTCTTAGCTGCTCTATAGAATTGTATGACTGTCCATTTTACATAATTATTTTTTGAAGCAACATCTTTAAAAATTTCTGCAAATTCTAAAATGTGTTTGATAACTTAAAATCAAATTCGTATTCTTTCATACTAAGTTGAAACATACAAATATGATAGAACCAAGAATATAATGAAGCCATGGCTAAGAAAAATCTAGCCATATGATTAAATTTTTGAGTGTAAAGTTTTTTTCCCTTTATGTACAGCTCCAATTGCATTTTTCTACCCAACTAGATAAATAAAAGCTAAGATATAATTTAACATTTTTTTTTGAAATAAAAATTCAAACTCATTATATCTTAAACTGTTTTTCTTATAACCTTATTTTTTAATCTGGCTAAAAATTCATCTTAACGTTAGACTTAGAACTAAGTCAAGTTAAAAAATAATGTTTTTATTCATTTCAGAGAGGGAGAGAGAGAAACATCAATGATGAATTATGGATCGACTGCCTTCTTCACAC